AACTCAAAAACCTTTGAAGCCATTTAAGTTTTAACATAGTATTCATACTTTCTGGCTTAATAATATTAAGACCACCTTCTTCAAACGATTTGATAATATCAGATTTTTTAATATAATGGGTTTTGTGTCTCCAAATAAAGTCATACATTTTTTGGTTACTTGTTTTTATGATTGCTGAAGAGGGAGCTAAAACCTGAGCAGGATAAATCAGTTTTGATAGATATTCCACCTTGGATAGAAGAATTCGTCCAAAAATTGAAATATCTCTCTGCAGCCAGCAATTCAGGATACTATTAGCTTTATGTACTTTATTTTCAAAGTTTTCTTTGATGTTAATGTTTGAATTCTTTGAGATCAAAATGCCTAAATATTTCACAGTTTCTTTTACTGGGATGTTATACAGGGATAGATCTGGACTAGGGTGAAGAGCTAAAAGTTCACATTTGTTTAAATTTAATTGGAGGCCAGATGCTTTACAAAAAGAACTAATTAAAGAAATAGCTGGAGGAATTTGGTCTTTATTTTTTTTAAATAATGTGGTGTCATCTGCTAGCTGACTATTTCCTATTGTTTTTCCGAAAATATTTAATTTCTCCACTGAATTATCATATTTAATTTTTGTGGCTAACATGTCTACCGCTAAAATAAATAAAAAAACGGTGACAAAGGGCACCCCTGCCTTATCCCACGGCCAATTGGAAATCTATGTGTAGTGCCAGAAGGGAGAGATACTGAACTATTCATATTTCCATAAATCATTTTGATAATATTAACAAATTTATCACCAAAGCCAAAGAATTCTAAGGACTTGAAAATAAAAGTGTGCTCAATCATGTCAAAGGCTTTCTTAAAATCTAAAAAAAGGATAAAACCATCATCCTCTATTAAGTCAGAGTACTCTACCAGGTCCATCACCAACCTTATATTATTATGAATAGACTTACCTTTCAGAAAGCCTGACTGGGATTTGTTAATTAAATTATGAATACCTTTTTTTAATCTATTAACGTATGCGTGTGTAAAAAAATTATAATCACTGTTGAGTAAAGTGATTGGGCGAAAGTTATCAATCAATTTTGAAGTCTTTATCAGGTTTTGGAAGTAGTATGATTAAACCTTGGTTCATACTTGGACCTAAAGATCCATCTTCAATAGATTCACGGAAAGCATTAAATAGTAATGATCTAATATCATTGGAGAAAAATGTATAAAAATTAGCTGTGAGACCGTCAGGACCAGGAGATTTATTCAATTTAAGCTTTTGAACAGCAGAGTCAAGTTCTTCAATTTGTAAATCAGCCTCACAGCCTTCTTGCCACTCGTTGTTGATACGGGGAATATTAGGTAATATTTTATAAAAAAATTCATTCAAATCAGATTGAGAGAGGTTGGAAGAATACAAGTCACTGTAGAATTTAAAAACATTCTCCCTGATTATAGTGGGGTCTGAGCATTCTGTGCCATTTATCAAAAGAGTTATTCCGTTGTCGTCTCTTTACTAATCTACAGAAATAAGAAGTACTTTTCTCACCTTCTTCTATCCATTTAGCCTTAGAACGTATATAGGCACCCTTAGCTTTTTTAATGTAGAGGTTGTCAAGTTCTAATTGTAAAGAAATAATTTTAGTCTTTTCTAACTCAGTTAATGTACTATCATTACAACATTTATTAATTTCGTAAATAATATTAAGTTCCTGTTGTTTCCTGACTTTGGCAAGTATTTTACTGTAATTAATAAAGAATTCACAAATTTTATATTTAAGAAATTCCCATCTGGATTTATTAGAACTAAAATTGTTACTGTTTTTAATATCTAGAATTAGCTCCCTTATTTTTAGACAAAATTTTTCATTATTAATTAAGTCAGAGTTAAATTTCCAATAACCCTTAGTTTTTGATGAGGTAAGATCTGTTTGTATTATAAAAGAAATGGAACAGTGGTCTGTTAAAGGTGCTGCAGACATTGTACAGTCTTTAGCAAATAAATGTAAGTTATGTGATAATAACCAATAATCAATTCTTGATTTGCTGGCTGCATTGGGTCTAAACCATGAGAATTGCCTAAGGCTAGGATGAAGATATCTCCAGACATCAATTATTTTAAGGTTAGAACAGAATTTGGAAACCAAGGGATTTAGCAGAGAAGATGTGCTTTTAGGAGGATATCTATCATAAGTTTCATCCGGTACCACATTAAAATCTCCACCCACAACAATATTTTCTGTAGGGTATGATCTCTTTAAATCGGAAATTACTGAGGATATTTCCTGCAATAGATTTTGATTCAATTTAGAATTATTGTAACCATATACGTTTACCAGAATGAAAAAAAAAGTGCTCAATATCTAACACCACTGCTAGCCAATGTCCATTAGGGTCATATTTAGCAGAAATTATTTTCCCTGGACAGTTATTAAATAAAATTGCAGTACCAGCCGAGTGGGAGGAACCATGGCTAAGTAAAACTTTATCTCCCCATTGGCTCGACCATTGAGATTTAGAAGAAATTATTTTCCCTGGACAGTTATTAAATAAAATTGCAGTACCAGCCGAGTGGGAGGAACCATGGCTAAGTAAAACTTTATCTCCCCATTGGCTCGACCAAAACGAAGAATCTGAAACAGTTAAGTGTGTCTCTTGTAAAAAAATTGCATTGAGAACCATTACTTTTACAAAATAAGAACATTGCTTTACGTTTGACTTTACATGCCACTGACGTTAAGTGACATGAGATAAATTTTGAACTTAACTGGAAACATAACAATAATAGTAAAAGATTAAATAAAATAACAGAAATTTGTTCACTAAAGAGGAAATCTCAGAAAGGGTGGTATAAACCCCAAACAGTTATAACCACAACAGAGCATACCTCCCAGCCTAGCGTTTCTTAACAGTCATATTTCAAACTGTCCTACCATAAAAGGACAACTACACAGTCATGCGGCGTCAATGCGCTTCCCTTCAATATACCCGAACGGTCCACGGTAGTAGGCTATCTTTCCTGCTTTGCGCGCCTGATCGATCAAAGGCCACAGCGCAGCGCGGACTAGCTGGTCCTCCTTCGTCATATCCTCCGTGAAACGAACTCCGTGGTCGCGGCACACAGATGAATTTTTTGTAGACCTCCAAATTTCGTCCCTGTATTTACGCATTGTGAACTGCACAATCACTTGCCTGGGTTTACCTGGCTCCTTTTTGCCAACTCGGTGCACTGTGTCAACAATGTCTTCTAATTTATGAATCAAATGCGATGCAATTTCAGCGATCATGGCAATCGTTTCTTTACGAGTATCCTCCTCGGGCTTCTCTTTCATCCCGTTGATCCGGAGTTTCCATCTCCTTTTATATCGCTCTAGCTCTGACGTTCTAATCGCCAGGTCTTAGTGTGATGTTGTTAGATATAGGAGTGATTTGCTCGTTTCTGCACATTTTTCTTTGCAATCTTTAATTTCAGCAGCATTGAATTCAACCGCGTTAGAAATCTCTGCCACCATGATGCTGTTCTTTCGCATCTGATTCGCCATGTCTTCTAACTGTTCATTTTGTACGTCAAAACGAGCTGTCAGTGATGTTATGGCTTGCAAGAGAGTTGCGTTAGTGATGTCATCATCATGAGGTATTAGCTTTTTTTATCGTTGTCTTTGGTCAGGGTGAAATGGGATGCATCACGCCGTTTGTCTGTTTTAGCCGTCTGTACCTCCATTTCTGGATCTGAGGCCACGTCCTTCACTGAAGGGATGTATATCTTTTGGTGGGTAGTCTGCTGTTAAGATTTCGGCATTTTGATGATGTAAAACACCCATGCGGTGTTTAATTGTTGTTTTAGGTAGGTGAAGATGAGAAATGTTTGAATTCTAAGGATAAACTAGAAGATTCGCTAGGCTGCTCGGTGAAAACGGATGCGTTCAGCCCGCCATCTTGCCCCCCCCCACCTTAACCACTTAAACTCTGCGGACCCGGTACCGGGTCCGTGACGTCATCGACTTTCGCTTTCAGATTTAAACGGCTAGCGTTGCACCAGACCCCCGTAAGTGGTGTCGTTTGAAAGTGTAGAATCTATATTTTTATGCACATATGCATCACTTTGGTCCTACTTTTATCCTACTGTATAAAAGTTATTTACACTTAAATACACAGTATTTTGGATACCCGAGCTAGGTATTTTACATTGGTTCATTTTCATATTCTTTTATATGACACATGTACAAGTTATAGCTTAAATGAAAGCTCTTGCCGGTGCTCATACAGTTCTAGCATTCTTTTTACTGAATTATATTCATATGCCAAACAGTTGTTGAATGAATTGTGGTGTTTCCGTGGCGCAGAAATGTATACAATACATTCATGATCAATAAGCAGCCCCAGATAGCACAGACAGCTGTCATCTCTTAGCTTATGCTGTGCCCTTCAGGGCCATTCTCTTCTGTTTTTGAGGTGATGTGCATAAGTAATCCTTTTATATGTCTGATGTGGTCCAAACACAGTGAATTATGTTTGATCAAACAAAATAATAGTGAAATATGTAAACAAGGATCAATCTCTGTGGCTTGTATAGCAACTCTCATCAGTTGGAATGCAATAACTTTTGCATAGATTATGGTAGAGACCTTTTTCTTTTTTCCTATGATTACAGACATGTGCAGGAACCACCAAAATTAACTACAGCACGCTAGACCACACAGAACCTAAAAGGTACACTTTCAAATTTGAGTTTATAAAAAAAAAATACAAAAAGCGCCTCTTTTTTTTAGGTGTTTATTATAACACAGACGACATAAACCGTTATTTTCAAACACTTTCAATAGTGTTTTTTGAAAATTCAAAGGGTTTTCTTTAAAATAATACCAAATTTTTGCATTTACACCTCTTTATGTGGATTTGGGTAGCTTTTAAATTTGGATAGGAAAAATCCAGGCAGAAATCCCCAAATAGCAGCAGAGTTAAAGTGGTTAAGAACAATATGCCATCACTCTGCCTTTTAAAGCTTCTTTTTGCTTCAGGCCCTGTTTATTCTTGGGACATTTTCCATGTAGTTTTGTAATCAGCAAGTGAAATGCATGCTTAATCAGATTCAGCTTAGGGGATTGACTTGGCCATTGCATTACAATCCACTTCTTTTCCTTCAACAACTCTTTGGTTGCTTATGCAGTGATCAGATAATATTGCCTGAAACACTTTAGAATTCATTCTGCTGCTTTTGTCAGCAGTCACACCATCAATAAATACAAGAGAACCATTCTGTTCCATTGACAGCCATACATGCCCACCACCATGCTAAGGATCATAAGCAGATCTTGATCTCATCTGTCCATAAGATGTTGTTCCATTACTGTGAAGGCATTTTCTGCCCTTCCTGTTTCTGAGGCTCACCAATGGTTTACATCTTGTGGTGAACCCTCTATATCAACTTTGGTAAAGTCATCTCTTGATTGTTGACTTCTACACACATACACCTGCCTCCTGGAGAGTGTTCTTGATCTGGCCAACTGTTGTGAAGGGTTTTTTTATTCACCAGGGAAAGATTTCTAATCCACCACAATAGTTTCCATGGTCTGCTGGGTCTTTTGGTGTTGCTCAGCTCACTGGTGTGTTCTTTATTTTTAAGAATGTTCCAAGCAGTTGGCCTGGCCATTTCTAATGTTTTTGCTATCTCTCTTACGGGTTTGTTTGTTTGTTTGTTTTTTCAGCCTAATGATGGCTTGCTTGTCTTATAGTGACAGATCTCATCTTGAGAGTTGATAGCAACAGATTCCAAAAACAAATAGCACACTTGAAATGAACTCTGAACCTTCTATCTGCTCATTGTAATTGGGATAATGAGGGAATAGCACACACCCGGCCATGGAAGAGCTTAGAAGCTAATTGTCCAATTACTTTTGGTCCATTAACAAGTAGGAGGCACACATGCAAACTGATGCAATTCCTATACCGTTCACCTTATTTGGATGTAAATACCCTCTATCTAAAGCTGACAGTCTTCAGTTAAAACACATCTTGTTTGTTTCATTTCAAATCCATTGTGTTGGAGTAAAGAGCCAAAAAAATTTTAGAATTGTGACAATGTCCCAATATTTATGGACCTGACTGTATATGCACTGTACAGTTCTGCCTGGGACAGTTGGCATTTCTGTGTGGAGTTTGCATGTTCTCCCCATGTTGGCATGGGTTATTTATACAGTCTTTGAACTGTGAATTGAATTGGGTAAGCTAAATAGTCCAGAGTGTATGTGTGTGTGTACTGGGTTTCAGCTGGAAGAGCATCCGCTGTGTAAATTTGATCTCCACTATACATCCATGAATGTTTGACAAGAGAAAAAGCTGGGTCACATAATGTCGGTCTGCAATTATTAGGTTGTGGCAAGTAGCTTTTTGTGGAGGTGGGAGTCTAAACTAATCATTGGCTAAACATCACAGCAGAATAATGAACATCATCTGTGCTTGATTGTTCACCAGTAGTCACCACAGATGTGTCCTTAATGTCTGACTTCTTGAAATGTATACTTGAGTAATGAATGTCCTGATTCTTTATGTGATCTTGCTGTGTGCAGACCGTAGACAAAGGAGCAACAGTTTCATATACTAGGGATGAATCCAACTAAATTGTAGCAGAAAAAAGGCAAAATGTCAGTGACTGGAAAGAAGATGTTGAAGTATATGTGTGTGGGTTAATCAGTTTGGTTCTTTTCTCTTACCTGTACAGCCTCTTTTGTGTGCTTATGTTGTACCGATGACTTGTTTTTTCTTCTCCTGCTTAAACTGCATAATAAAAGAAATATATATATATATTAGGAACCCAAATTTATTGAAAGAGTTTGTTATGAAAATAATCACATTTGAAACTTGAAAGTCCTCCTAACCCAATCAGACCAACTTCTGAAATTATGCTGCAAAAATAGCTTGTTCTAAAACCACAGCAATGGCTTTCTGAAAACTCAGCTACTTGGCCCACACGTTTGAGGTAAAACAAAAAAGAAAAACAGAGATATTGATAATGCAAAGACATAATCATATAAGTAAACAAAAGTTGGGTTGTTTAACCCCTACAGCTTTACAAGCTATTCTAAAGACTTTTAATAGATGGGAAGCATTAACAAGGTTTGTTTAATTCGGGCTGTAGCAGAGTTTCCATTCTAACAGGAAGCAAATATTTTACAACAGGAAACAAGAAAAGCATAGTGGGAGTCATGTGGGTGTATATTTGCTACTTCAGAGTTTATTCTGCAAATGTGTTTCCATCTTCCATTATTTGCAATATCCTTTTTTTGCACAAATCCAGAACCACCACAAATGAGCATACATTTTGTTTTTTAATAATAAATGTTGTTGCTTTTTACCTGTAATACAGGACTCCAATGATAAGAAGAATCAGAAAAATGAAGAGTACGATCAAGGTGTTCTGTAGAGCTGTAGAACTGTGTTCAACTCGCATTTCTAGCATATTACAATTTTAGAAAAGGTGTAAGGAAAATGGCTAATATGTTTAAGAATTAAATATTAAGTTTGTTCGCTGAAAACATAGACTCTTCTCCTTGAAGAACATGTGATAGAGATGTTTACCTCCTACAGCACAGGAGAACTCTTGAAGCTCTTCTCTGCTGAGTGAGTCCAGGTACAGCTTGTTGTCTTTAGTAAATCCATCTGTGACCTGCCGTCCGTTCTTGTACCAGATGTAAGTGTGTTTGTTACTCAGAGTGCATTTAGTTGAACAGCTTAATATCACCTTTTCTCCTTCTGATACAGTGTCTGGTCTGCTTATCACCTCTGTATCTAAAAAAAAAAACAACAGTTAACAGTTTGTCATCACAAGTAATATGATAACACCATCATTGTACCTGTAACAGTGAGAATGACTCCAGGTGAACCAGAATATGTTCCTCCTCTTTTGTCTGTGATGATCCTGAATCGATATTCTCCAGAGTCGCTGATCTTGAGCTCTTTGATTCTCAGTTTGTTCTCCACAAACTCCACACGACCAGTAAACTGATGCTCTTCACGCAGATCCCTAAAATCTCCAGTCTGTACGTAATGCCAGAATGTTTTATTAATCGTATAATCAGAGGGATGTGAGTATGTGCAGGAAATGTCTACTGTTGAGTTGACCAAGGCACAGACTCTTCTGGAGTTGTAAGACACATCCCAGCAGACACTCTTAGAAAAACCTGAAAGAGTCACAGATTACTGCTGTAGAACTCACAATAAGGCCTGTTCACATAAATATGATTGTTCAACATGAGAATTCAGACTCAGAGGCAGATGTCAGAGGGTATTCTTCTTCAGTTAACCACACTTTGAAGAATACAATCAAGTCAATACGTTTCGTTCAGAGCACATGCAAAAAAAAAATCTAGTCTATCCCAATAACCACACGTTTGGATGATGCGCATGCAACAGGAAGACTTCATGACTTTTGTAAAATTTTACAAAACAAATGGTACACTAAAGTTTTTTTTTTTTTTTACTGCAGGGAATGTCTAAGGAATTGGAAACTTTTCTACTGCATTCTGTAACTGGTTAGTACCACCATGGATGAGGTTATAATCAAGCAAAATTTCTAAAATGTGATGTGTACACACTGCTGATCACTGACTGGACTGACAGAGCCAACATAACAGCATCATTGGTTTGTATCAATAAATTGGTTTGACTATTTAAAAATATTGAAATAGTCAGCAGCAGCCACTGCTGAATTTTTGGTTTACACGACTAAACCATTTGTATACCACTGCAAGAAAAAAACACCTGAAATGGTATAATTGTGGTCAGTAGAAGAGTTCCAGATGCCCTTCTTGTAACTGAGCAGCAGATTTAGCAAGAGGATGGGATGACCTGGACTTAAAACTCTTTTCAACAAGTCATGGGGGTAAAGTCGCCGAAACTAGTGATAATCAAACCCACATAAGTGGTATAAGAGGCTGTTCACACATTGCATCCAAAAGCAGGTGGAAAGAGTGAGCGGTATTGCTTCCTTCACCACTTTCAATTTGATTTACGTTCATGCTCCTTTGTCGTCTGTCTTTGCTAGGTGACCATGCCAAACTAACAAAACATTGCTGCAGCTCTGATACAAGTTTATTTACGGAGAAGAGCGAGCACTGCAGTGTTTGGGTGTGATTAGTCTACCGAAATTGTGTATATTCCAATCAAAGTATGAAGCTGATCGGTCAGTTCTTGTCACGTGACTCGCAGTGCGCTTGCGGCATTCTGAAAAGTTGAGATCGTTTCAACTATGTAAAAGCAGCGCGCCTTCAATGCACATAACCAACTTGCACAAGCATAAAGTGTGAAATGTAGCCTAAAAAACTAAACTTTTATTTGATTTATTTATTTTCCTTCGGTTTAATTCCTTATCAGGGGTCGCCACAGTGAAATGAACCAGCCACTATTCCAGCATATGTTTTACGCAGAAGATGCCCTTCCAACTCCATCTCATTACTGGAAAATACCCATACACACTCACATTCTCAAACACGCATATACACTACGGCCAATTTAGCTTCCCAATTTACCTGTACTGCATGTCTTTGGACTGTGGGGGAAACTGGAGCACCCAGAGGAAACCCATGCGAGCACAGGGAGAACATGCAAACTGTACATAGAAATGCCAACTGACCCAGGCGGCACACAGACAAGCAACCTTCTTGCTGTGAGGTGATAGTGCCACATCCCTTTTTATTATATATATATATATATATATATATATATATATATATATATATATATATATATATATATATTTTTTTTTTTTTTTTTTTTTTTTTTTTTAATTAAACTTTTTTAATAAATTTCAGTGAAAATGCAAACAGAGTTAAGCAAAGCAAGCCGAACTGCTTCATACTTACAAACAGGAGAGGAGGAATTTTTAAGGTCTACAGTAAGAGAACAGGAGTAACTGCCATCCATTTCTGTTGAAAGCACAGTGATGTTTCTAGCATGAAGACCTTCTATATATTGTCCATTTTTTTTCCAGAAGTAATTTTTTGGCTCGAATGTCAAATCACATGAAGTATCACAGGTCAGATTTACTGCCTGACCTCTGGTGTTTGCAGATGCAGGACTCATCTTTACCTGCAAATCTAAATGACAGTAAAATTAGTAAGAACATTATGAAACATCAGCTGAAGAGCCCAGAATCTAGACTGAGTTTTACCTGTTACTGTTAAATTAACAGCGACTGAGGCGAGACGTTTAACTCCATCCTTCATGATGAACATGAGCTGATATTCCCCAGAGTCTCGCTCACTCACATCTGATATTAAGAGTGTTGAACAGTCATGTTTGAAGCTTTGCTTTACTCGTCCTGAGTAGTCTAAATCTAAATCTAAATCTTCAGGTTCATTGTTTTTCCTCCAGTTTGGACTTTGTTTCCAGCTGAACCAGAACACAGATTTATATTGGATGCTGTTGTAGGTGCACTTCAACTGCACACTGGTTTCCCTCAGAGCACAAATGTTTTTACAAGTCACAGAGAGTTCGTCTAATGTTAGAGAGCCTAATAAAAGAAAGAAGAAACTGCAAATGCGGACTAATGAAAGACCTCATGACAAACCAAGTCACTAAAGAACAGTGAAGCAACACTCTGTCAGCTTTAAAATGTGTCAAATTCATCAACAAAATAATCTTACCTGAAATGTGTAGAAGCAGGATCAGCAACAATAGCCTGAAATCCATGATTTGACTTTCAAACCTTTGAGTTGTAGAAAAATAACACAAATAAGAGCACATTAATTTCACTCGTTACCTTTGCTATATTACATTATAACACATTTCTTTAATATACAGTATATAGATATAAACACATGTATACTTACAAATTTTAAAATTTCTCCAGCTTGCAGAGCTGTAAGTGTTGTTACCAAATGATGTCAATGTCTGAAGATTTCAGCAATCAGATGATCTTATTTCCTTCCTAGTTCTGTCATTTTGGGCACTTGTTGAGCAACAGCGGTTAACTAACCGCCTGCATGAGTGGATCTGTTTTTAAAGATCTTATTACACGTTAAATATTCAAGCTTTAGGTTAGTTGATTTTCTTACTCTAAATTTGTACATTTTATGTTTTGGGGGACTCGCATCACAAACCTGAAACAGCCTAGTTAAACAAGGTGTACTTTGTCAATAGAATTATAATTTTTCATAGCACACTTTATAGGGATCTGTGAACATCATTTCCGTTATCGTTACAAAAACATTGTTATTGTTTATAAATGTTAACATGCAAAAAAGCATTTTTGTAATATTATTTATTATATTATATTGCTTTTATAATTATATTAAGATAAGTATTGAATAATTGATTCTTTACATCTTTTTCTCAATATACACTTCATGTCTGCATTATTTGTCAAAAATTAAATGAACTGCAGTCTATTATTCCACTTTTATTATAGCTAAAACACTGTTCGGATACTATATTTGCAACACAATCTCACAGCAATTCATAACTTTTTGATATATTGGCTAATTCATATAAAACTGTGCAATTTTATTCATACAATTTAGTACAATTTGCTTACCCCCCAATGACGGCAGGTTTAGGGCCAGCTTGGGTGCCACATCTAATTTTTTAAAATCATAAATTTTCATACGGCTGAACTGATACGAATTCAAACAAATTAGCCTCTAAACGTAAAAATAGTTATGTTTCCTTGTGAAATCAGGCTGGTATTCCAAGACATTCATTAGTTTTTTAACCTTTAATAGTCAAGAGTAGGTGTATGTATGAATGCTTCCCAGTGCTGTGTAGGAAAAGCATCCGCCACTTAAAAATTACACCAAAGTAATTGCTAGTTCATTCTTCAGTGGTAACCCCTAATAAATCAGGGACTAAGCTGAAGGCTAATGAGTGAGTGAAGTAGGACATTCTTACACCTCATCTTACACATCTTAGCCTAGTTTTTTGTATCATTAATACATGTTTTACTGTTGTAGACTAAAATCATTCAGCACACTAATGTGGAGCTGTAATGAAGTCAAGATCTTATCCTTACAGTGTTCATCAGCCAATCAAAATCAAGCATTTAACTGCCTTTGGTATAAGTTGTGTAACCCCAGGCTACAAAAGACCAAAATGCAGTAGTTTCCTCCTCAAAATATGTTGAGCAGCAGCATGACACATACGATTTATGCCACAATTTCCTTTTTGCTGAAAAAAGTATCGCAATGTCTGTAGACTAGTGATGTTGCAATGTTTTTGATGATTTTTGATGCCATAGCCAACCTAATTTGGCCATTTTCAAAAAAAATAAATAAATAAATAAAATTTTCACCAACAAAAACAGGCAGACTTAAGTGAAGGAGTGCAGGCACCTACAGTATACACACATCAGTAGAACTTAGAAGTGCAGCATCAAGATTCTGATTTTGCTTTTGTATATTACATTACAACCACTTAAAAGTCTCCTACAATTACTAATCCAGCATCATAAACTTCAATGTGTTGCTGCAGTGTTGACGTTTTAAACATTTGAACACATAGCTTGTTCAGAAAAAAAAAACATTTAGATGATAACAATAAAATGGCTTGTTTTTATCTTCTTGCTCAACATAAAATACACTGAGCTGTTTGTATGTGTAGTGTATGTGTGTTTAAACCCTTAATGGTTTTACAATAAACATGATTTGCAATAAAAACAAACGTCTTTAATGATTTTGAGCCTTTTAATACCAAATTAGGGAAGGTAACAGAGCAAGGGCAGATGCATCCAGAATGTGGATAGAAAAAGCCATTATTATCACAAACACTGTTATCATTAATAGTTACAGTTTCTGTTTTTAATGTAAACAGGTCTTATATTGATACATTAGTGTAAGCTGAGAAAATGTTAGATACTATTTGTCCTATGCTAATGAAGCACCACTGAGACATTACATGCACAGCATGGGTGAGTTCCTCACATCTTCAGTACACATCTCTGCCATTTGCTTACAGTAACCATGTGCTCTTAACCACACACAATTCATTTGTTCGTGATCTTCTTTCATATAAATTAGTTGTGTTTGGTGTCATTTGACAGTTCATGACTAAAGTGTTGTAGTAAGGCAATCAACAGAAACACTGATGTATTTCTATATACAATCTATTTCCTATTGTTGAGTCATAGTATAGAGTATGTTAATGTTCTTCTCCCCCACTTTATCTCCTCAACTTTACTTTTATGTTTTTAGGGTTGGTTTTCACCCATGTTTGACAATGCTTTGCTCAGGGTATACTAAGAAATGGTAACTGTTGATCTGGGATGTCAATTTATCAATGATGATAACAACTCTAATTGAGTCAAATTAATTATAATGAAGTCAGATAAATAATTGATTTAAACACGTCATTCATCATCTGCTTTCTGTCCTTGATTACTGGTTCAGAATAGCAGTGTAAGCTTCAAGCCTTACAATTAGTTACACTTCTGAAAACTACAGAAACAAAATATGAAGGTGTGCACTAATACTGAAATAAAGCAACACAATAAAAAAGGTTAAAACTTCAATCATGTGGATTCTTGCATGATCTTAGGATAAAAACAGCTCATGTTATTTTTGGCAAGAGGAGGAATCAATTAAAATACCTTTATTTTTCGTGACATAAATAGACCTATAAGTCATTATTAAGTCATACTTATTTATTATATGTCACTAAAGCATGAACTGGTAGAATTAATAGATCAAAGCATAAATGTGATGTTGTCACAACTGAAAAAACTCGATGATGTCTTTTCCCCAGCTCAGATGTACAGAGAAGATCTAGGGACGAGGAACAACAGCTCCTGAGACAAAAGATATATATGTAGATATATTTACAATAGTGTTTTTGTCACTATAATTAAATTTTACGGTACACTCTTTACATACTTTTTCTTACCTTCACCTTTGTTTTCAGTTTTTGAGAAGAGATGTGCTCTGATGAAAAACCTGTTGAATCAGATTTCACATTCTTATAAATCTAATGAATTTCTATGTTCACTGTATAAATGTGAATTTCACTGAATATTTAACTCACCACATCCACACCGCTGCTATTATGAGAAACTGAGGTACAAACACCAGCAGAGTGACTGTATAATGGCTGACTGCTGTGCTGTCCACTGCTTCTGCACAACACAAAGAAGACAATCATGTCTATCAGAGGAAACACCCTAATGTACATGTGTGATAGAGATGTTTACCCCCTACAGCACAGGAGAACTCTTGACGCTCTTCTTTGCTGACTGAGTCCAGGTACAGCTTGTTGTCTTTAGTAAATCCATCTGTGACCTGCCGTCCGTTCTTGTACCAGATGTAAGTGTGTTTGTTACTCAGAGTGCATTTAGTTGAACAACTTAATATCACTTTTTCTCCCTCTGATACAGTGTGTGGTCTGTTTATCACCTGCGTATCTGAAAAACAAAACACAGTCAATAGTTTGTCATCACAAGTAATATAATACCATCATTGTACCTGTAACATTGAGAATGACTCCAGGTGAACCAGAGTATGTTCTTTTTGTTTTGTCTGTGATGATCCTGAATCGATATTCTCCAGAGTCGCTGATCTTGAGCTCTTTGATTCTCAGTTTGTTCTCCACAAACTCCACACGACCAGCAAACTGATGCTCCTCACGCAGATCCCTGAAATCTCCAGTCTGTATGTAATGCCAGAATGTTTTCTTTACAGTATAATCAGAGGGATGTGAGTATGTGCAGGAAAAGTCTACTGTTGAGTTTATCAAAGCACAGACTCTTCTAGAGGTGTAAGACACATCCCAGCAGCCACTCTTAGAAACACCTGAAAGAGTCACAGATTATTGCTATAGAACTCACAATAAGGTTTTTTCACACCAATATGATTGTTCATCATGAAAATTTTGCTGTAGATGGAAGCTTTCTTCCTTAATTAATTGAATTTGGAAGAAAACAATCCAGTCAATACGATTTGCTCAAAGCAGTTGCAATTACATAAAAAAACTGCAGTTTCTAAAAATTTTTGTCTCACTCACCAGACTTTTAAACTTCGTCAATTGAGAGCATGCACACAACAGGAAGACTTCACTTTAATTTTTACAAAACAAATGGTATGATTTCTGCACAATTTTCTTAACATTGGATGTCAAAATTCAATCCTTTCTTTGCGTAATGTGGCATGGTTCACGACAATCAATACCATGCCTGCAAATCCTCACGACACCATCGCAGAAAGTCTAGTATGTTTCATTTTTTTCTCGTTCTTTACGAAGGGTGACTGTGCAAAAGGAGCACATCACTTCTCAGTTTTCTCAGCAGGTGCTGCCATTAATGCGCTGGTCAGTTAATCAAAATGTAGACTGCATATTTACTTAAGTTGTACAATTGAAATTTTTTTAATATGTCATTATTTTAAAGATTACGTCTTGAGCATCTGCTCAAGGCGAGGGACTTTTTAATAGGAAACCCATGGCAGGAAAATACTGGATCAGATATTAAAGAAAAGGAATCATATGTTTAATCAGGTCCATTTAATAATGAATAACCTTAAAAATGTAGTTATTATTATTATTATTATACCCACTTTTGGATTTACTATCGATGAAATTAATGTGAGAATGTGCGCTGGTCTATGCCAACTTCATACCTGGCATACATTCATTTCTTGTGTGTGTTTGTTTTAATTCCATCTGCGACTCCTAGAGGCAACACTACATCTTTGAGCCGTGTAATGGCAACTGTATGGGACTGGTTAATTCGCATGTCTAGTAGGTATATAAGGTTACCATACCATGCAGTTGACCAGCCAAACATTAAAGCGCAATTTGCTGCATGCGATCGCCGGTTTTCCCAATGTAATTGGAGCGATTGACTGTCTTTATCAGACGCTGGATTCGAACCGAGTTCATGTTTGAACGTGTCAAAACATGTTGCCTTGAGTTTTACGAGCTACGCCACTCATGCTGTTAAAGTCACTACCAAATTTTACACCTTTACATCGCAATATTTCTTTTTTAATGCACTGTTTTTTTTAGTGCGATGTTCAGACCCAACTGTGTTAACCGCATCAGCTAAACTCTCCCACTCAATTTTTTTCTTCTGTTATTAATTCCGGAGAACAAACTTGCAAATAACACCGCTTTTCTCCGGTCTACCTCCGAAAGCAGCACCTCCAAATCACATTCTGTTAAAAGTTTCTCTTTTTGCTTGCTTTTGCCTTTGCTTTTTCGTTAGGTTTTGCCAAAGGATAGTAATTAGCATATTCATAAGGGGGAGGAGGCAGGGAGGGGTTTTCCGCTCATGCACGTGCGATCAGTTTCACGTTCATTCGGATGTACAAAGAGAATATGCGTGAGATTCGGCGTACGCAGTGTTTCATACATCTGAATTTTTTACTGCATTCGCACAAAGCTGTAAATGTGCATACTATCTTTTAGTATGATTTCAACGCAAGTCTTCATACATGAGGCCTCTGGCCTAGATCTCCTTTAAAGTGCTTAAAGGTGTTTTTCACTGCAGGGAATGGCTAGCAACTAGAGGCTTTACTATTGCATTCCGAACCTGGTTAGTACCACCATGTATACACACTGCTGATCACCAATTGGACTGACAGAACCAACATACCAGCATCATTGGTTTGTATCACCAAATTGGTTTGACTATTTAAAAATATTTAAATAGTCAACAGCAGCCACTGCTAAATTTTTGCTTTGCACGACTAAACCATTTGTATACCACTGCAAAAAAAGACACCAGAAGTGGTATAATTGTGGTCAGTAGAAGAATTCCAGATGCCCTTCTTGTAACTGAGCAGCAGATTCAGCAAGAGGATGGCATGACCTGGACTGAAAATGCTACAACTAGTGATAATCACACACACGCAAATATCTTTACATATGAACAAGAATTAAAATATTAAGGATATATTTAGGATATAGTAAGGATATATAGGATATAAATATGAAGGATTAAAATATTACAAAACATTATTTTCTATTCTACATCAATTTAAAAACCACTGTCTTCATACTTTCTTCATCTCGGGAGGCTTTTTCAGTTTATTCATAACAATTTTCTTTTGTATAATGTTTTCATTATTAGCAGTCTTATTTTTATATCCATATTAATATTTGTTTTATTAAAAACAAGCTTAGATTTGCCCACCTGCAGAGCATGTATTTTAGGATATAATTCAGTTTTTTAAACACACTTCGATATTGTTGTTCATTTATTCGTTTGCTGTTAATTAGAACTGAATTTAGTAATAGTTTTGAAACAAATATTTGCGCTTAATAAAACAAAATTAATTATTTATAGGCTAATTGATGTCTGTGCGTACAATGTTTCCCTATCCACGAGAGCGAAAGTGAAAGTTAATCATTTATCTCTAATTCTCGCGCTGTAGATGCTCTGTTTAACTGTTTTCTTGCTAGTGAAATGCTCAGTTTTTCCACTTACACTTACTTTACGTCATGTAAATAGCAAATGTTAGATGGCGTGATGCAACAGGCTCTAAAAGGAAATGGGAGATGAGACTCTGATTGGTTTATTCTCAAAAAACACCTATAACTCATTAAGAAAATAAACTCAACCCTTTTAGACCATGCGCCATGGTGCAAAGTGGATTTTTCCGTCCTTATATTAGCAAAAATGGATTCTGACACACCCTGAAAGCATTTGCACCCTGTGCTTTGCGCATGGGCCGTCAAAATAGAGCCCAAATTATGAAGCTGATCGGTCAATTCTAGTCATGTGACTCACTGTGTGCTTGTGGCATTCTAAAAAGTTGAGATTGTTCCAACTATGTAAAAGCAGCGCGCCTCCATTGCAAATAACGAACTTGCACAAGCAAAAGGTGTGATATGTAAATTAAAAAAAATGAAACTTTTATTTTTATTCATTCATTTTCCTTCAGCTAAGTTCCTTCTTTATCTGGGGTCGCCACAGTGGAATGAACCATCAACTATTCCAGCATATGTTTTACGCAGAAGATGCTCTTTCAGCCGCAACCCATAACTGGGAAACACCCATACACACTCACATTCTCAAACACACATATACACTACGGCCAATTAAGCTTACCCAATTTACCTGTACTGCATGTCTTTGGACTGTGGGGGAAACTGGAGCACACAGTGGAAATTCATGCAAACACAGGGAGAACATGTAAACTCCACATAGAAATGCCAACTGACCCAGCCAGCACTCAGACAGGCAACCTTCTTCCTGTGAGGCGATAGCGCCCCCCTTTTAATTTTTTTAATGTTTATTTTATTTTACTTTTTTATTAAACTTCAGTGAAAATGCAAGCTAAGTCGAGCAAAAACCAAAGCAAAGCAAGCTGAACTGCTTCATACTTACAAACAGGAGAAGAGGAATGTTTAAGGTCTACAGTAAGAGAACAGGAGTAACTGCCGTCCATTTCTGTTGAAGGCACAGTGATGTTTCTAGCATGATGATCTTTTATATATTTTCCATTTTTTTTCCAGAGGTAATTTTTTGGCTCGGATGTCAAATCACATGAAGTATCACAGGTCAGATTTACTGCCTGACCTCTGGTGTCTGTAGATGCAGGACTCATCTTTACCTGCAAATCTAAATGACAGTAAAATTAGTAAGAACATTATAAAACATCAGCTGAAGAGCCCAGAATCTAGACTAAGTTTTACCTGTTACTGTTAAATTAACAGCGACTGAGGCGAGACGTTTAACTCCATCCTTCATGATAAACATGAGCTGATATTCCCCAGAGTCTCGCTCACTCACATCTGATATTAAGAGTGTTGAACAGTCATTGTTAAAGCTTTGCTTTACTCGTCCTGAGTAGTCTAAATCTAAATCTAAATCTTCAGGTTCATTGTTTTTCCTCCAGTTTGGACTTTGTTTCCAGCTGAACCAAAACACAGATTGAAATGGGATGTTGTTGTAGGTGCACTTCAACTGCACACTGGTTTCCCTCAGAGCACAAATGTTTTCACAAGTCACAAAGAGTTCATCTAATGTTAGAGAGCCTGATAAAACAAAGAAGAAACTGCAAATGTGGACTAATGAAAGACCTCATGACAAACCAAGTCACTAAAGAACAGTGAAGCAACACTCTGTCAGCTTTAAGTAATCTTACCTGAAATGTGAAGAAGCAGGATCAGCAACAATGGTCTGAACTCCATGCTTTGACTTTTAAACCTTTGGCTTGTCAAGTAATAACACAAATAAGAGCCCATTAATTTCAATCTAGTTACCTTTAATTTATTACAATATAACACAATTCTTAAACATATAAAGATATAAAGACATGTATACTTACAAACTTTACGATTTCTCCAGCTTGCAGAGCTGTAAGTGTTGTTACCAAATGATGTCAATGTCTGAAGATTTCAGCAATCAGATGATCTTATTTCCTTCCTAGTTCTATAATTTTGGGCACTTATTGAGCAACAGAAGTTAACTAACCGCCTGTGTAACGCAATGGCTAAACAAGTTGCATTACAAAGGAAATGTAAATCATAAGAAGGATTTAGTACCAAACTGTGTCTGACGTTAACTAGACCTTGTGGACAAAAAAGAAAAGAGCACAGTCTCAGATTACACCAGCAGGTGGTGGTAGTGTGATGAGGTACGAAATGGCGCTCTCGCTAAATCCTAAATCCTGAAAGAGTTAATGCATGCAAGATATTAAACTTCCCAGGTTCTGCCGGTTGCAATTCCCGAATTTTCATTACCAATCTTAAGCCTAGTGTAATCGTTTGTTTTGGTTTAATGTCGAATTTTCCCAACCTTCGAAGAGCCTGGCAGGGGGGGGGGGGTCATAGTGCTCCAACTTGGCCTCCCCTGGTCCCTACTAAAGCAATTAATTTAGATATGAGATCAGACTAATGCGACTGCTGTAGATATTCCAGTTGTGTTATTTTTTGGTATTTATCTTCAAGAAATCACTGAAGGCATATATTATGTTATCATAACGATCTAATATGGCAATAATATTGTAACTGTACTGTGCGTTTACATAGTGGCCAATATTCATATATTAAAAACACACCAAAACAACATTAACATTATAGCAGACACTGTAAAAAGCTCATTACCAGCCACTAGACTTTTCGGACAGGATATTCCAGTGTCAGAATGTTGTGGGACTGCTGTACAGGAGTTATTATTATGCATTATAGATCTCAAAATTTAGCTGGGTTTTTTGTGTTTTTTAAAAGCATGATGGTAAAACATGAACGCACAAAATGAGGGGTAGGGGTAAGAGTAAGGGCTAAGGGGTAGAATTGGAATTGAGCCTAAGTGTGTTAATGATTTGTATGGTTATATCTATATTTCCCTGCATGTTTGAAGTGAGTGAAGCCTGTAATTCACTATGTTGTGTGTTGATTTAAGAGTTTGCACATGTAGCATAGATTCATGTGAGGTGTAACGAGGAGCCTGACACAGAGGGATCAATTTGCAGTATATTTATTAGACAGTTCAAACACAATCATACAACACGCACTTACGTGCAAACTCACATCAGTAGTATTCAGTATGGGTCTAAGGGCTGGTGGCTGGCTATCAAGGAGTGATATAGCAGGCATTGATCAGTGGCAGGCAGGGAGGTTTAGAATCTAGATATCAGGCATGGTTCAGGGAAGGTGGCGTGGATCAGAGTCAGAGTACAAGCAAGGTTAGGGGCAGGCAGAAGGCAACACAGGGTCGATAACAGTCCAGGTAATACACGGGAGATCAGGCAAGGAGATAACGCTCAGAAATATCAGACAGGGCAGAACAAGACTTCGCAACGGACTGAGTGTGTGTGCTGCTTATATGTGTGAGCGTGGGTCATTAGTGGGATGAGCTGCAGGTGTGAGTGTATATCAGTTTAAGTGGATGATGTAATGCTAGAAGTCGGGTGATGGTGGCCTCTGCTGGCCAGCGAGGGGATTGACTGGGACCGAGTCGGTGACATGAGGACTCAAATGTTGTTTATTACGTTGTTGTTCAAAGTAATGTGTACTGAATACATACTAATAGTGCAATGTTAAAAAAATTTACTGTTTGATACATATGCAAAATGCTGAGAAATTCGAGAGTGCGAGTTGATGCGTGCAAAACACAAGTGCCGCTACTAAAACAATTCAGGTTTTTCAGAATAAAACCATCATGTTAAATGTTCTTCCCATTGTGAGTTCATTACTGCATTCTGGAAACTGTTACACCTGCACGGGCAGATCTGTCTGCACACTTTTTAGGGATCTGTGGACATCATTTCCATTATAGTTTTTTTTTTTATCATTATTATAGTTTTTGAATGTTAAAATGCATAAAATCAGTTTTGATTATATTATTGTTTAAAGAAATACAAATAAATCCTACCTTGGATTTGTGAATTAGCTTTTTTTTATTATATTAATATAGGGGTGGCACAGTGGAAAGCAACATCACCTCTCTTCGAAAAGGTTACTGGTTCAAACCTAGCCTAAGTCAGTTCTCCTTGTGTTATTAAGTGGGTTTCCTCCGGGTGCTATAGGTTCCCTCACAAGGTCAAAGACATGTGGTATAGGTGAATCGGCTGAAGCCCTGCTCACACTGTGAAAATTTCAACCACGATTTTGTCAGCTGAAACTAATTTGGCAAATCCTAAAAGATTCCTGAAATCTTAGGCTAAAACCTGTGATCTTTGATCGCTGGCTTGACATGATCACAGACAGCTGCTAAATGCGTGTTGTGATCAGATTTTCCCTCCGATAAAGTTCTGGCAGTGTTAGAAGATTTCAGACACTTTCCTGCAGTGTGACAACAGCTGTGATGAGTGTTAATCCAATAACCAAAAGGAGCGCAGAATCTGATGACGCAATCCATGAGACAATTCAAATGACCGCTGGGAAACTTTTTTTCTTCCTGGTTTAATTATTGAGACATGCTGTGTGCAAAATTGCGAGACTGCTCGCTGCAGAGCCACTTGGGCTCCAATGAGGGGGAGCTTGAGCTCCAACTCCTCCTCCTATAAGCTGTTTTAATGAGTACACCTACCCCAACCCCCAGTGACATCACTTGTAGAAGAAGTGCAAGGAAGGAGGAGCTGGAGCTCAAGCTCACCCTTGCTGGAGCTCAGCTCTGCCCAAGTGCCCAAATTGCTGCTTTTGTTAATAAACATGTTTATGTTTGATGCAAGGAATGTTTTTAGAATGTGGGATAAGTGTCACAGGTGGATGACGTCAAACTTCAAGGGAGTTTTCTTCCATGTTTGATGCATCTTCATTGTCATTCTGTCTGACATCATGACGGCTGAGGTCTTGCAGTGTGACATGGGAGCCTTGTTTGTACAATCTCACATGATATAATTGTTCAGGATTATATATATAAAAAAATTAACAGTATGAGCTGGCCTTGTCCATAGCTAAAATTGTCCATAGTGAATGAGTGTGTATGGGTGTTTCCCAGTGATGGGTTGCAGCTGGAAGGGCATCTGCTGTGTAAAACATATGCTGGATAAGTTGGTGGTGTAAAGATGGCTACTGTATATCTCTCCATAATATAAAACTCTGAAAACTGTTATGGAACTCACACGAGACAAGACCACGAGAATCATCAGGCACTAAAACAATAAACTTTCTAATCTGACTCTTTGATTTATCTTTGAGTGATGGATGTTGTATTTTTACAGTCTCATCTCTGAATTGGCTTTCTGACTGTTTTATTATGTAATTGGCAGAATACAATTTTACCTGACGAATAAAATGTTAACTTTTGATTCATTCTGAATTCTCCTGAAGTCTTTTATATCCAGTAGATTTAGTGGAGTCTGCGCTACTTTTATAATTCGACTTGATTCTAAGGTACATTTGACTGTATGGAGCAGTGTGGCACGACAGCATGGAAATCTTTAATCGCTGAAATTAGCAAGTTGTCTGGAAGTGGCTAAATCTACTACATTTTAGGATGAGTGAGCAGTTGGCAAGCAGACTATTTAAGTATTAGCTAACCCTACATCCTCTTACTTCAGAGTGTCGACATACTGTCTGAGAGAAAACACGCAAACTCGAGTATGAAACTGCCTAATGAATGTATAGCTGAAGAATATAAAAACAGATATAGATCAAAACTCTAAATTAAGTCATAAATTATGAATGTGATGTGTTCCTATAAGTATAAATACAGTCCAAGAGCCAGATTAAATTCAGAGCTAGAAAACGAATATAAATTCTAATAAATAACAAAATTCTTTTTTAGAATGTTGGGCTGATTAGGCTAATAGATGGACTTGTACAGTGGTTCATTCTACTGTGGCGACCCCAGATTAATAAAAGCACTAAGCCGAAAAGAAAATAAATGAATGAGTTATATTAATATAAGTAACAAATAATTTATGCTTCACATCCTTTCCACAATATACACTTCTTAACTGAATTATTTCTCAAAAATTAAATGAACTGCAGGCTATTTTTCCACTTCCATTATAGCTACAACACTTCAGATACTGTATTTCAAGACATTCGGCAGTTTTTCATGCTGAATGAGTCTAGAGTAGTTTATGTATGGGTGTTTCCCAGTCCTAGGTAGGAAGGGTAAACATCTCAACCTTGTTGTTTATTTTTTTTATTAGATTTTTGACTGTTGTTGACTAAAATCATTCAGCACATTGATGTGGAGCTGTAATGAGGTCAAGACCCGCCTGAAACTACTTAAGTTGTCTTTTTATCTGAAATTAACTGCTCATTCTTAGTGTTCTTCAGCCAATCAGAATTAAGCGTTTAACAGCCTTTAGTATAAGTTAAGTTGCTTTATTTTTGTTCTACCAGGCTACAAAAGTAGACTAAAATTTAGTTGTTTCTTCCCAAAAAATTTTGCTCCGCAGATAGCACGATACATACAATTTATGCCACAATTTCCTTTGTGCTGACAAAAATATCTCAATGTCTGTAGACTAATGATGTTGCAAAGTTTTTGATCATTTTAGACTTTCGATGTCTTGGAAACTTATTTTTGTCGTTTCCAAAAAAATCCACCAACAAAAACATTATGCAGATATTATGCTCATGTTGTGCCACGTCATAATTTTGCAGAGTACATTGCGATAATGGATAGACATTTATGTTGATCCTGGAACATTATTTTTGTTTGTAATCCTAACCCATTCCCTACTCCTAAACCCAATCATAACTGTAATTATTCTCAAAATCAGAGGGAAATAATAGTTGTATAACAATCATGTAGAAGTGCAAAGACCTAACCGTAAGCTTCAACTTAACATAAACAGTAAACATACCACTTAATTCTGACTAGCTGATTGGAATGTTGTTCCAGGATCAACATAGATATTAATCCAGGAACATGCCCTACTTAACCACTTCAAGAGTTCACACTTAGCTGATGATTGATTATTAACCTTGTTTGGCATGCTGTCCCGGGAGAGAGCCCTGAGCTTATAAGATCCTCGAGCCCGGGGCTCCCTCCTGTTTGCAAGGCGAGAGGGGAGTTTGAGCTCAGATAGATCTCGAGAACTCCCCTGCTGTAGTAGCTAATAAACAGATAGTGATTGCTCTTAAGAGATAACTACTTATTGGTGGGGGGATTGGGGTTGCTGTGCACGGCAGGCTAGAGTCATGCTGCCAGGCCACATCCGATGCGAACTAGAAAGTGAAGAGCAGGGGGTCGAGGTTAATGGGGTCGCAGCAGGCCAGGCTCATGGTGGCAGGCCAGATTGACCATCAGGCCACCGGGAAATGTCCCAGTGCTCCCTATGGCCAGTCCGCCCCTGCATATGGTCGCTTTTACTGAATACTGTTGTTTTTGGCTTCTCATACTACGGTAACAGTTAATCTGTTTTGGTGATTTTATAGCTGTTGTTAGGATAATACAGCAACTATAGTTATATAAACAAATGACCCAACACTGCAGTTTTCTTCAACTCTAGGGTATACTAAACTACAATACATTGCAGTTTACTCAGGGATTTATTATTATTTATGAAATACTGCCTTGTTATCACAAACTGATCACACCATTTTACTTTTAATTCATGTGCCCTCATAATTATTCATTAAAACTGTCCTCCATTCTTTCTGCAGTGAAATCTTTTCTCGGAAGACCTGTTTACTGGGACAAGGGCGGGACCAACCTGTCAATCATGCAATCAACAACAGCAAACCTACTATCTGTTCAATTCCTACAATTCCCAAACTCCCATCCCACATTTTTTTCCTTCTTTCTTTTTTTACTTATATACACGCCACAATAAGGAAGACTATTGCAACATACATTTGACACCATCTTTAAAAGTAGCCACAGATGGCAATAATCCAATTATACAATATCTATTTGTATTATAAATATGAATAATTTACAGTTTTGTTATTAATTATTCTGTGATTTGGAAGTGCGCTTATTTTTAAGATTGTTTTAGAACTTCAGACTCAGTTGTCTATGGGAGAAATGACTAAAGGCTTGTTTATACTTCTACATCTTGTGATCGGCTTGACTCAGCGCATGCCTTGCACATAGTTGTCCATTTATACTTGCTGCTTTTTTTTTTAATAGAGTTTTTACAATTCAAAAAATTAACAAAATAAACTCTTATTTCTCATCTCGCACACACGGACCAGCTTTTACAACACTGGAATACATCACATCTGGTTGGCTGGCCGCATACGGTCTAGTCACAGGAGTTCAAATATTTCAACGGATCCACAGCTCAAATCAGATCTGAATTTTACGCATACGGAGGTGATCGGAACTCCACGCGGCTCTTGGACTACTCTCCATTGGAAATGAATGACTTCTGGTCTGTCGCTTGTCGTGTGCAGTGGATAGGAGGCTTCAGAGGTGGGAAACAGCAGACGTACAACAACTTTAGTCATAAGAAAAACAAAAGTTTCCATCTGGAGCTCCTACAAGAGACTCGACACAGCCTCTACTGTCTAGACTGCAGCTCTGCACAGGTAGTTTGGCCAGAGGAGAAATAGTCGTGCCCAACTGAGCCTGGTTTCTTTCAAGGTTTCTTTGTCTTTCACTTTCATCAATTGGTCAAGATTTGTTCCTTGACAATGTCGCTACTGACTTGCTTGTTTGGGACATCTGGAGCTGTGCATTGGTGGATTTTCTCTTCAGTTTTTGGACTTTCAGCAATGATAATTACACCACACTGAACTAAACTAAACTGAACTTCGACATTGAAAACTGGACTGACACAGTTTCAATCTACTGGAATTTCTATGTGAGGCTGCTTTGACACAATCTACCATGTAAAATCTTTATAGAAATAAACATGAATTGAATTGTAAACAATTTCTCCATCAGGCTCGCGGCTCTCAGCACTGCCCACACTAGTCACAGCTAACAAGCCGACCAAGCGTGCGCTATACGTGAAGGATACGCTGAAGGATAAATCAGCCTTAAGAAAAACAGTCAAACTACTTGCTTTACAAACAAGTGTGTTGATGACTATACATGAATAATATTATGATAAGAAAATATCAATTTGCAACATCAAGGAGAAAAAAAAGATTCCAATGGCTCGTGTGTGAAGAAAACGGTCAATACAACAGACTACAAAGTCAAGCCTGAGGGTAATCCATGATGTCATCATATATGACATCACTGTGATGTTGATGCTGCTGCAGACAGTCTTGGATGGCTTGCATGACTGTTTCCAGGCGCCGATCTAAAGCAGAAAGATGTGGTTCAGTAAGGAGAGGTGCGACCTCTGCAAGGGGGTCCCTAGATAAAGACGCTCGCATGACATCGCTCAGCCGATAAGGTGGGAGAGAGAGCAGACGTAAACGAAGCAACGTCGAGCGACGGACCCTGAGGAACAAAATGAGAAATTATTAGCAAGTTAAAAAACACTACATCTTTAAAGTGTTGCTTCAAGCGTTCACACTTGTCTTTTTATCTGAAATTAACAGCTCATTCTGAGTGTTCATCAGCCAGTCAGAATCAAGCGTTTAACAGCCTTTAGTATAGGTTGAGTTGCTTTATTTTAGTTCTGTTCAGGTAACACCAGGCTACAAAAGTAGACCAAAATTTAGTTGTTTCTTCCCAAAAATATGTAGCGCAGCACATAGCAAGATACATACAATTTATTATGAATGATTATAAAGCGTGTTTGGCATCCTGTCCCGGAAGAGAACCCTGAGCTCATAAGATCCTAAAGTCTGGGGCTCCCTCCTGTTTGCAGAGCAAGAGGGGAGTTTGGGCTCAGGTAGGTATCGAGAACTCCTCTGCTTAATTACGGCTAATGGCTGATATGGATTGCTATGAAGAGATATACTGCTGATTACGAGCTCATCTATGGTGCCAATTTGGTTTGGTCAATTCGCCATGTCTCATTTCTTTGGACTGTGGGAAGAAATCAGAGAACCTGGGGGAAACCCACGTGAGCACAGGGAGAACATGTAAACTCAGCAGAGGAATGTTAACTTGCCAGGTAAGTGACATTAAACAGTGACATTCTTGTTGTGAGGCAACAGTGTGAGGCTAGCCACTGGGCCGTTGTGCTGCCCCATCAAGAAAAAGGGAAGAGGAGTAGGGGTGGAAGGGGGATTCTTTAAGACAAAGATAACTGAGGTAATAAAATCTGGTTATTTATAGTGAGTTAGGCATCATCTGATTGGTGAATTATGTGTTATCTAATGCAGGACCAGCCGTGGTCAATGATAAGCACGTGATCCTCTCGTAGTTTGTTTAGAAATTAACTTCACTTATATTCACTTTACCTGCAGCACTGCACAAGAGGAGCCAATATAGAAGGTTCATCTTTTGAGTGACGTCCAAACCTAAAATAAACACAGAAGGATCATGCGGATTTAAACCAACCCAAACACTACGTCATGGAATTTATTTTTTAATACTCACGCTCTTCCATTATCTAAGTGTATAAGAAATGTGTCGTTGCCAAACTTCTCAAATGTTTCATAGTGGTGCCTGTCCATGTTACCTGAGGAAAAGTAGACATAAAATATCAGGAGACAGGCAATTGATATTGGTTGTTTGAACCCCATTTAAACAGAAGAAGACTCATGCCCAGTTTACACTTAGTGTTATAGTGTATTTTTGTATAAACCGAATCACAACTGGACAACATTAAGTACAGGTATGAAACTTTTGACCTTGTCCACTTTTGACCTCTTCCAGAGGTAGTCGTAAACACATTTCACCAAATTGCTCAAACAGTGTGAATGTACATGTGGTTAAACATGTTCAAACAGAATTTTTTTTAAAAAAATACGTCTGCTTCATTTTCTTTAAACAGCAGCTCTCATGCTGAGCCTGTGAACTGATATTTTTCACAAGATACAGCACTGTGAATGTTTTATATAAAGGGCACCTATGGTGGAAAATCTACTTTTTAAGCTGTTTGAACAGACGTGTGTGTAGGTATCATGTATAGACGGTCATATTAGGGTGATAGAAACACACACAGTGCTTTTTTTTTTCAACTTAACAACATAAAAGTGGTGGACCAATTGGAGTGGTTTTTAGATCAACCGCAACTTGACGTAGGATTGCAGTCTCCCCGCCCACCAATATTGATTCACAGGCGCGCATCACCATATCCTCAGTTTGTCGTTTTACGTCCGCCAATTTTAGCATGTGAGTCAAAGCGATGTCACTAAAGTAACACCCTTGCTCTATTTTTAGATGTAAGGCTCATTGGGCTCAACACAATATCAACATTCACCGCATGATTGCTGTAATCTGAATTATTGTTTGTAACTTTAAGTAGGTTTGCAAACATGTGTACTTTTCATTGTGTCTACCTTAAACTTCAGCCGTTTGCATTTCTCGCTGTCACAGAAGCTCCCTGTGATCTTAACTAGTTGCAGCTGGAAAGTGCGAGCGCCTTGCCTCACGTGCGTGTCGCTCGATTGGAAATAAAATAACGAACTTGCCTGCAGATTGCACACCAGAAGCGTTGCTCGGCGACTCTCAGCGTCGTGCCACGCAGCGTAATGCATTTAAGAATTTTAAACATAGGTTTCTATCAAGGTACACACAATGGCGCTTCAAGTTGGTGCCTGTCCACGGCGCCCAGCCACGATTCGGGACACTTCATGTTTCTGCCGCACCACAGAGCTCCATCTGAATAGTTTAATTTTAAATAACATTCGAATGTGTGCATCTGGAGTGCCATGTCGCGGCCCCGAGTGGCGCATCCGGTGCCTCAGTAAAAGTTCATTCAGTGTGCGTGGTTATTAGTCTCGGTGTACAAGCTTGGAACTTTAACCTAGCACACAGTTGGCTGTAAAACTATACAAAGACACAAATGATTTTGTACTCTCTGCTTGGTCTGTGTCCGAGTCGTACATGTACGGCTGAATGATGGTCCTCTCACTCATGTTGCTTCTCTCTGTCTGCCTGCCCGTCTGTTGCCAAACACAGAGCGTGGGAGCTCTTGGCTCTGCCCCCTTTTTACGTTGGGCGGGAAGTCCAAACTAATTTTCATGTGAAGCAACACGCCCCTAAAACAGCGAGCTGTGTATAAGCCCCCAAAATCACACTTTTTAACACATTATAATAAAAAAAATTTGAACTGTGTTTTGAACTGAACCTAAACTGGCACACTCAGAAGAACCATAATATTACTATAAAATCTTAAAAAGGGATAAACGATGTGCCCTTCAATGTGTGAAGTCTTTTATGTACTTTTAATAATTTGATTATATTTTGATTTAATTTGAATTGCTAATCCTTTGCATAATGTTTTTTAATCACATTTTCAAATTACTTTTGATGTTCTAAATATTTGTTAAATGAATTTTATATATAAAAAAGCATATATACTGTATGCGTTAAAGATGTAAAACAGAATTAAGTCTTTAAGTTTTTTTAGATACGTTTTTTTCAGTATTACATTGAAAGATCAGAGAAAGTCAATACCTGCCCACAGACACTCCAAGTAAACTAGACAAAAGGGAAAAAGTGGACAAAAAACGAGACACTTGTCTACTTAAGATTAGATCAGTGAAAAATGGATCTTAATACCAGGTGTGAACATGGCCTTAATAGAAAGAAGACTTAGTTTGGAAGTGTCTTACTTTAAATATAAAAGAAGCATTATGTTGCTTAGATGTACAGGCCTATCATATCAAATTATTAAGTTATTCTAATTACACATTGTGGTAGTACATCATATCAATAATGTCATGGTTTGAGTTCAGAAACATGCCATTTTCTGTGGTCTACATCAGAAACCTATCATTCTTTTTTAAGCGTTAACTCATAGATCATCTGAACTGGTTCATGACTCACTCATGAGAAAGTCCAGAATGCTCATGTCGATCACATCCACTAATCGAGTGCCCCGGTCATAAGGAGGAGTCTGTTTTACTGTGTCACAGTAGTTGGAATTTGTCTCCCACCTGTTTCAGAAACACACACTTGATGGGTACAAAACCGAAACAAAAGTACCTAAAAGAAAATATGCTGAAAATCAGTGAAAAAATAAAAAGAAACGTTCCCAATGAATATCATTGTATTTTTAAAATTGTTTTATTATTTTAAAATATTTTTTGTTTTATTGTTTTATTTTATTCCATGATTTGAAGAGATTTTTCTGAAAATTAGGCAACTCATAACCTCAAAGTCTAATTCTGAAAGTGTTCTTTCAAATATCATAATGTAAAGTTTGTGCTTCAGAATACATTAAACTTGTGAAATATGATCAAAGCTGTTTTTTTAACTCTAGTTAAGATAACATCAAATAGCACTAAGCGATGACATCTAAATTTGTAAATTGTAGGTTGTTCTCAAATTTTACGTTCTCAAACTTATCTGGAATTGACAAATCCAGAATTTTGTCCCTCTTTCTGAAGTGGTCTTTTTGAAGGGGTGTTATTTTTCGAAGGGCAAATCAGTAAATGGTTCGATTGGCTAAGACCATTGCATTGGAAATAGTATCAAACTTCATTTTACTGTGCTTCATTTACAAAATGACACAATTTAATTAATTTACTTCTGACCAATCAGATGCCCTTCAGCTCAAAATCTCTGATTGGCAGAGCTGTGATAGCTATTGGCAGTTTTTTTTTTTTTTTTTTTTAAAGAGGAGAGGCTACTCTTTGCCCCGTCCTCTCTTCATGTTTTAGTTAAATGATGTCAAACAAAACAAAAACACATTTCAAAGCCCTTTCATAGAACCTTTAGAACACAAACACACACTCCACCTACTCAGCCTGATTGGTTCGACTGTAGGACCTCCTCCAGGGACTCCTCCATGAGTGGCGTGGAGCCAGAGACAGGTCTGGCAGCATAACCGCTAAAGAGCCTTCTAGCTTGATAGGACGCCCACAGACAGCATGCTCAGTGGAGCAGTAATACGAACAATGGCCGTGAAAACATGTATTACCCACTGGAGAAAGAAAGACATACATGTAGAGAGGAAGTGATGGAGGAAGACAAGAGTCAAATGGTACTTACCTGGGGAATTGAAAAACGTTGTGACCAGTTTATGGTCAGTGGTGACCTCCTTGATCTCTTTAATGACATTAATAAGTCTGCCAATCACTGGAGGAATCCTCCTGAAACCCAGTATCCTAATTGTGAGAAAGGAAGGGTGGTGGTTAAAAGAGAACATTGTGCAGTAAAAACTATTATGTAAAAGTACACATATCATTATTAAAAAGTAGCTGTATTATTGCCACATGACTTTAAAGCAGGGGTCTCAAACTCGCGGCCCGCGGGCCATTTGCGGCCCTCAGTGCAATATTTTGTGGCCCGCGCCGACCGCTGTACTCTGACAGAATCAGCGGGGAGAGAGAGCGCTACCCGCTCCGCTGATTCTATCCGTACACAGCGCGCTTGTCACTCAATGCGCGTTGTCGCGCGCGTTCTGATCAGCTGTGTTGTCGCGCGCATACTCAAGAGCGGTGTTATCGCGCGCCTACTGAAGGGCGGGACCGAGGGTGTGTCGCGTCGCGGGGGCACTTTTGATCATTTTGGAAGGGCACTTTCTATGCAAGACTAAAAAGGGCATGTGCTCTGCACAGGTTGAGCCCTATGTGTGCACGTGCCTGCCCTGCATCTTATATATATTATAGATAGATACAGACTGGTACAGACTGATGTGACTGGAGTGGGGTGGGGGTGTTTTATTTATACATATATACGCCTTTTTTTTAGGTGAGGGAATGGAAGTTTTGAGTGAGTTCCCCCACTTTTTTCCCTAGGACTTCAATAAGTCAAAGTACAGGTCTAGACTTAATGATGATCATCTTCAAGCCATACTGAGCGTCTCAACTGCTTCCGCTCTAGAGCCAAATGTGGTTCAGATTTGTGAGAAGAAGCGCTGTCAAGTCTGGCAGCAAGGAGTAGGCAAAAGATGCCATGTTCAGAAGAACTGTTCATAATCTTCACTCAGTGTTCTATTAATGTTCAGGACACTTCATGTTCAGAAGAAATAATTAAAACTGTTAATAATGACATTTGAGGACTTTTTTTGTGAAATCCCTTATGCGGCCCAGCCTCACCCAGACTTTTCCTCCTGCGGCCCCCAGGCAAATTGAGTTTGAGACCCCTGCTTTAAAGCTTCTGACATACTTTAAGTAGTGTTTTAAGCATTTCGATTGGAATAAAAGCCAATGTTTTGACTTGTCTGATCTCAACAAACTGGAAAAAAAAAAAAAAAACATTTATTGCAATAAAGGCTGAGCGTCAGAGTCAGAACCTGCCTCTAACACATCATCATCACAGCTCAATGAGAGTTCACAAGTGTTTAAAAGTGTTGGAAAGAACATTTCCAGAAAGAAAGCTACTGTAAGAAACACAAAACAAACTTCGTTTTGGTCTGATTTTATTACAATTTTACAATTGTATTATTTTTTAAATATATCAGGGCATTAATTAGTAGCTTAAGTGTTATTATCTTAAAATATTTTTGAATATTTATTCCTTTGAAAATCCATGTTTTTACCTGTCCAAGTGGAAGGCTGCGATCTCAGCATTGTGCCTCTCAAAGTCAGAAAAGTAATACAGATTCACATTGGTTTCCTCATGCCGTTCCTGTCTGTACTCGAATGAGAAGGATATTGAATTAAAATTACATATTAGCCGTTGAGTATGTTCATCCAAACCACATTATTTTTTACTTCATTGCACTTTATTTCTATCAATTCCTGCAGAAGCATGGAACCAGTGGTTCTCATACTTTTGTAGAAGACATTTAAGTCCACCCACACTCGAACCCCAGCTAAGGGGTTGATTAGGACTATATACAAATAAAAAAAAGTATTTGTTGGGAATGGGTCTTACTTCATGGGTTTGAAAAGTGCCTGTCCATAATTAGGAAAAGACATCACCAACTTCAGCTGAGTTCCACCTGACTTTTGCACTGAAAATGACCACAGACCATTTCAAGTCATCGAGATGACAATTATATTTAACAATAACATTACATGTCACAATTCCATTCAGACTGTTAACAGAGATTTTATTTCTCACAATGTGGTCTCGCACATCACTTTCCACAAATGCATCCATCCATCAAACTCTTGGTTCTGAAGCTGATTGGTTCCTTTTTGTGTTTTCATCTTTGAACATCTATGAAAATTTTGTTTAGCCCTCCTCCCAGCACCACCTCTAGATCTGCTACAGGAGTACTTAATCTTGCATCATGTATCCTAATCGTTGTAATTCTGAAACTATTTCAGTATAAGGTTTTGCTCGCTGTAGTAGATCTAGTATGGAGCATATCCAGGAATCAGAGAGTGAAATTCAATACCTTTTAAGAGCTTTTTAAAGACCCTTTACATACATTTTAAGACCTTATAACAACTTTAGGTTTCAACTGGAAACACTGGCGAGATTTTAATTTACACTATATTTACTAAATATGAATGTAAAAAACTAATCCAAAACTAAAACATTATTCATATACTGAATATAAGTCCATTACATCTATTAAACAGTCTATTAAATCTAGCTAATTCAGCAGGTTTGTGCCGATAGAACTGCAGAAATAATGGTGTTGCCTTGATTATTGCAGTAAACAAAGCAGCATGATTTCAAATCTAGTAGGATTTAATTGATTTCAAAAACTATGCAGCATTGTGATATTCACAGATTTAATTCAGGCAAACTTTAGCATACGACCATACATTTCATTCATTTTCTTGTCGGCTTAGTCACTTTATTAATCCGGGGTCGCCACAGCGGAGTGAACCGCCAACTTATCCAGCAAGTTTTTTGAGTGCCCTTCCAGCTGCAACCCATTTCTGGGATACATCCACACACACATTCACACACACTCATACACTACGGACAATTTAGCTTAGACTTTGGGGAAAACCGGAGCACCCGGAGGAAACCCACGCGAACACAGGGAGAACATGCAAACTCCACACAGAAAAGCCAACTGAGCCGAGGCTCGAACCAGCGACCCAGCGACCATCTTGTTGTGAGGCGACAGCACTACCTTCTACACCACTGCAAGCGCCCTGAAAGCGTTTGAGCCCTGCGCTTTGTGCTCTGCGCATGGACCGTCAAAATAGAGCCCTATATCTTTGAATGATCTACATCCTTTGAATCTATTTTGTCAAGACTTTGAGAGTCATGACTGAACAGCCATTTAAATCTTACAGTATGATTTTAATTCTTATTTTAAACTTTCTAATTTTAAATGATCCCGGACGAGTCCCCACTTTTACAACCACAGGTATTTAATCAGTCTAAGCCACCATCCAACTGTCAACTGCAAAAAGAGTCTTATTTCTATGCAGTTCTCATCCCCACCCTCTTTCTCATACAAAAGACTTGCTTTGCAAAATTTAAGGTCACCTACCTGCACTGACAATGCGATGAGATGCCAGCTGCTGATTCAGCGCTGACAGATTGGGGTCTTTGTGCTGATACATCTGCCAGCGAGATATACCAAGGTGAAAACGGAGCCAAGGCGGATGTGTGTCAGTACTGGTGTTCCATAAGATAGGGTCAAAGCCGTCGTCATTGGCACTAACCCTAAGAATGGGATTCATTAAGCACTCATAATTAAAAATGTACCAAATATCATGTTTATCCTCCAGAACTCTTAGACCGGCATCTATTCTTGACTTTCAGAGATGGTTAAAACCCCATTTGAATGGATTGCTGCTGTACTGTAGATGGCGCTCATGACATTGAATCTGTTTAAGCAGCAAAAAAGGCCCAATAACCTGCTGAGTGAAAAGTGATTGTTATGGGATAAGTTGTGAGTAAGCACAAATTTAGTATTCATATTTAGCTCTGTTGTACTAAGGATTACAATTAATATAATAGTTTCCATCCTCATTATTTCCATTGTCTTGCTTTGTTTTTTTATTTGTAAGCTGTTACCATGGTTTAATCTCCCAACAAAACTAATGCATCAAACTCTTTCATAACATTAGTGATGAAATCAAAGAGTATGATCCAAAATATGTTCTTAAGTTGAATCAAATTAACATTACAAGTTAATTTATTTAAATGAGTTACATAAAGGTAAAAAACTTATGTTGTTATCACAAATTCCAAAATTTATTTGCATGTTAATAGCAGCTAGTAACTATAATGTGATAACCAGTGGTGGGAAGAATACTGAAAAATCAGCTTAAGTACCAGTACTTGCCAAAAAATGTAGTGCTAGTAAAAGTACATATTGTAAACAATATTCAAATTATCAGTAAAAAAAAAAAATCCCTTCTAAAAAAAAACCTCAATACCCTGCAGATTAAAAATGTACTTTACATTATTGCCATTTGCTTTTAGGGTTGTCTCCAAGTGCAAGTTAAATTATTTACTATTCATAGACCATAAATTTTAAATGTGAGATTAATTTAATGTGAGAACATATTACATTACTATATGCAACTAACTATAATAAGCTCATGCAGAGCGAAATCTGTTTAAACTAAAATACTAAAAAAGGTTGAAAAAAAAAAAAAACGAACTGTAACGTGGTTTCCACTACATTGATTCTTTAACGGCGGGGCGCCACACCAACATTCATCCTGCCACAGCTACATTACAGCTTCTCATTAAAATCATTCAGTTGATGTTGTTTTTTTGCACCCAACGCATTTAAAAGTAAGTGAATTAAAACAGCACTGACTGACTAACTGACAGGTGCATGATACATGAGGCCAGCAAACATGACGTGTCTTTCAGTTAAGATGTTACACTCATTCTAGAATTTTACTTTATTTATAGATAAAGGTCAATGGTTCTGCGTACAGTGACTCTATCTTGCTAGAGTTAATAGCCGTTTCACTTTACTTGTACTATTTTATTAATGCCGCTCTGTAGGTCTCTTGGAGAAATACATAAACATTCCTAGCAAATCCTATGAATGTTAGAAATGTACTTGTTACATAAACGCTGTAAAAAAAAGCACTTCAGCAGTGTTTATTTGAGAGCAGACAAGAAGATCTGCGCTTGAGCAGCGAATATTTGAGGGGGCGTGCAAAACGTTTCGTGCATGAGCAGAGTAAATCCCCGCGCATGCAAAGAGATTCGCATCCTCGTATTACATAAATGTTCCCACGACATTTCTCCATTTGTTATTGAAATAACGTCATAGGTAGTTGGTAGATTTGTGTAAAACGCCTGCCGCCACAGCTGGTAAAAATCCTGAAGGAAACACTGTATAATATATTAACACTTAGGTCATGCAATTTAAACCCTGACTAACAAGCAGCAATTTTTGCATCTATTTGAAAACGTGACATTCCAGCCTGGTCTCATGAGGAAACGTAACTATTTTACGTTGTGTCAGTTTAGTTGTTAATTCATATGAGTTTAGACTTACGAAATTGTACGATTTTTAAAAAAAAGGCGTGGCACCCAACCCCACCCCTAAATCAACCATCATTCGAGAATAAGTAAATTGTACAAATGAGAATGTACAAATTCATACAATATAGCCACTAAATCAAAGTTACGAATTGCCTTGAAATAGCCTTGGATATTCTGCAGTGCACTTAGTTCTTTTGTTCTTTATCGCTATATTTAGCAAGTTTTCAGACCCCACTGTAGCAAATTTTCCAAAAAGCGGCTAGCGACAAATCTAGTGACTTTTTGGGTGTCATTGAAGATTTTTTATAGATTCTCATCTGTCCATACTGTACTGTTCCTACTCTTCTCAATGAGCTGTGGGTGTTGCCATTGGCCCCTCCCCCGCCTCAGAGCACTCACAGCAGGTGGCCCAGTACCACTCAGCCGTCTCTCACACTTGATGTGCCATGCGGGGATAAATCAAGCTATTCGTGTGTAAGTACATGCGTGAACATTTTGAGTTTATTTGATTCATTCACACGTCAAATTCACTTTACAATAGACGCGGATTTTTGTCATAGGCAGGGCTTCTTTCTGCCCGGTGACTCTAGCTTCAATGCTAAATGGCCAACAGGGATTTTATTCAGAGAACAGCTGTGTTTATGTGCTTTAAGAAGGCTGAAAAACAGCGTAGGTCTCTTCAGTGCCTTGTCTGAGCCCATTATATCCTTTCGGAGGTGCACCCAGCTCTGTAAGTTCATCAGCTCCTACAGAAACTATACCTGGATGATGGAAGCTTTCAGCGGTGCTTCGGACTGAGCCGAGCCTAGTTTAATGAGCTGTTGTCCGGTGTCGGGGCTAGAGGATTTTCCCTCGGGACACCAACAACAAGCGCTACGTCATAAATACTCCCTACAAGAGCAAGCTCCTGATTGCTTAACGATGGCGCAAATGTCCACTGAAGTTTAGATTTTTTTAACTCGAGTCATTTGTGCTTTAAACGTCAAAAGCGCAAATCGTTCAACTATAGGCACTTCATTCGCGCATATAGCATCTTTTGCGCCACCTCATTTGCAACGAAACGTGCTGCAGGATGTCAATTTGCGTCTTTGCATTACATTAACATGCACTAGACGCTTCATCTGCATCTGGTGTAAACGCAGCCTAAGAGCAGATTAGCCCTCTGCTTACAAACAACAAATGATTAAGCACTGTGAACGTGCATGAGGTGCTTCTATCTTGTACAGTCAAGCCGATCTGCTTCTCTTTTTTTCAAATTGAACAATTTAATTTGACCATTTATTCTTTTGTTGTTCATAGTCACAGGGATTTTAGTGACAGTTTTTGCAGATGTTATGCATTAAACATTCGTGTATGCCCATTACCAACTAGGGCTTATTACGTGGTGTATAAAAGGCCATCAGAGAATAGGGGAAATTGCATCATTGTTCAGTTGACTCCTCTCTGTGGTGAGTGTGTCGCTGCCGTGCGTCTGATATTTAGTCGCTGTTTTAGCCTTTCTTGTTCTTTAAAAATGTGTTGGGTTTAATTCAGCTTTATGGAATCGTACTTTACCGAGCTGTGCTCTACATCGTGTCATTGTTAACACTTCTGCCCGCTCCAATGTTGGCTGTCTTCTCGTTCGCTAGGCCCTGTCACCTCTCCAAGCCCACTGTTAACTTGTAGCTGCTCTCTCAGGAGCTGGGGCTGTCTAATGCGGGCAGTCGGGCCGTTGTGTGGCTTGGAGACGTTTTTCTAAACAGTTAGCCTTTGGCTCACTTAGTGTAGTGAATTTCACTGTGGGACATTTTGAATCTAAAAGCGTGCACTTGTATATCATTGGTGGGTCATTTTTTGGGCCCAGTGCCTAGCCTGCCCGACTGTGGTAAGCCCCAGCTCCTCTGGGTGGATAAAGATTTATTTGTTTATTTATTGCTACCATTAGTGCCATTTTAAGTGTATATGTGCCTGTTTTAACATAATTTTGGTCTAAGGATAATTGAAATGTAATAAAAGAATACGTTTTTCATATCCACGTTTGTCTACATAGGGTCTTTGTTAGAGAAGGGGTAAGAATCTGCATTTCATGTCCCAGGTAATGTACTGGGTGACGTAGTCAAGCTGTATTTGCAATAGTAATTTAGCTCTAGTGTGCCAGTTAATGTATTGGTCTTTCTACCAACAAAAGGCCTTAGTCCCCCTTTGCGCCACATTATGTCAGAGAGATTATTGCAAATTCACTACACTATCTATACTGATTTACTGTATTTAAACAACAATTAATTTATACCACTATAAAATACCACTTTGTTAACCATAGGCTGTTAAACAAACGGCAACTGCTGGACATGATAACGTCAGTAATATGCAAATTGACGTATGACATAATCTAGCGACATTTAGCGACTTTTCGAGCGGAGTTTAGTGTCTTTTTATTGAAAATAGTCGGCAACACTGTTTCAGATCATTTTGCGATTTCAGTCATTATGCAATGGCCATCCTTCAAGAAGTCTAAAAAGTCTTTTGGTTGTTGCGTGTAACAATTGGGTGTTTTCTTGGATTCTTTTAATGCCTCCACACTGTACATATTCACTGCAGTTAATGCTATTTTTCTATGCGCAGTTTGATTAGATAGGAATTGCAGGACTGATTGTTCTACTTAGCCAATCATAGTGAAAAAAATTAAATGTAAAGCAATGGCCTCGGGTTAAGGGAAAATACTGCAGTAAAGTACAGAAACTAAAAATAACAGTAAATGGTGGCATAATGATGTCATATATCTCTTACCACTGCTGTGTGCTTCGCTCTTGCTCTTTTACTTTCGTTCGGACTTTCAGCAGCCAATCCCCATCAGGCACAGGTGGGGTGGGCAAATTATACAGCGGATGGGAGAATAGAGCATCCAGTTTGGCGAGATCACCTGTTGGGTCGACCATTTTCATTTCCTTTGAGACACTTCTCGTAGTGGCCATTGTGATCTCTGAAGTGGATGCATTTTGAGTGGTCTGGATGCCATAGGTTGAAGGGAGCTCACAGGAAGTGTGGTAGACCGACAGGACAAGTGAAACCACAAGCAAATGCAGGCTCAGGAAGACAATAAACAGCCACACACGCAAAGTCAGAGAACGCCGACGTGTACATACTCGCATTGTACTGAAATCAGATGGAAACATGTATTAATTATGTCAGTAAGTTATGCTTTTTAGGGAAAATAAAGCAAAACATACCTGCCTTCCCGTTGAAGGTGTTTTCGGCTTCGTCTCTTTGGAGTAAAAGGAAGCTTAGATTGTCCTTTAGACCTTCATTCATGTGTTTGTTCTCTTGCATTATCTGTTTCGCTCAAACATTACAGAGCAGAGGTGCCAGGTTAAGCTGATCTGAATGGACATGTTTACTCTCCTCCGTGCAACATCTAACACAAATGTCAGAATGGAAGCACATTCTCTAGTCTGATGAACATCTATTTTCCAATAGGGGAGAATGAGATACATTTGAGGTAACTGTGCCACCTTTAGATTAACCTAAATATAAAAGCATTTTCTATAGAGTCCAGCAACCCAACATGTTTTTTTTTTTTTTTTAAATAGCAAAGCGTAATTATTAGTGGTGGGCCTTTATCGGCGTTAACGTGCTGTGTTAACACGAGTCTCTTATCGGGCAATAAAAAAATATCGCCGTTAATCTATTCTTAAAGTTGGGTTGGGAGCTGGGTCTATTCTATGCAAGCTATGATGACTTTCACCTTGAAACTTTTGCGTGGATGTATACCTGACAAAAAAGAGCCCTTCTGAATCAAATCAGCTAGATGCCCTCCTGGATCTTTCACTTATTTTAAAAACACTACTGACTATGCTTGCATGGACATCTGAAATCTAGTTATCCTTAATCGACAATAATAAAATTATGATGTTTACCTGAAGTGCTTTCATGTAGGAGTTTGCTGTAATTTTGGGTGACTTCAACTGCAGTTCGGCAATTTCACATTTACTCTACATTTCATTCGTGCCCCTGTGACAAACTGGGGTAATAGATGCAAATAAGGAGTAAGGACTGGTGAGACTGCTATGGAATTTAATAACGCACATTTAATAACGCACGCCAAATGGAAAGAAAAAACTTCCACATTTCGCAATGTGTGTGTGTGTGCGTGTGTGGATCTTGTTGGAAAATATGGTGAAAAGTCCTACATGACGGTAATAGTTTGATTGCGGTGTTTACTTCAATAATGCCACTGACATCTGCATACTCCACATGTCTTAATTCCATTTCTGTTTAGTTCAGTTAACTTTAGTCATATTAAGGTGATCAAAAATCGTTGTTTCGAGCTTATGTGGGCCTACAGTTCAACATTTATGCTTAACTGAATAAACAGTTAGTAAACACAAGTATCTTATTGAACATCCTTTATTTTTCTTATCATTGAACAGTTTCTCAAGCAGTTTGTGATGCATTTTGGAAACCGGAGATAAGCCCCTGGTCTAATCCGCAACCTGGCTTGAGAAACCCGTTCTCAAAGACTTACTTCTAGTCATTATTTGGGTAACACACATATTCTGAATGCCTTCGGCAAAATTAAAATGAACCATTTGATTAATTCCAAGATTACAGTAAGATTAATCTATATATATATATATATATATATCTATGCCAATCTATAGTAGTTATCTTAACACACTTGTAGTTAGGTTCTCTTGTTTTTTTTTTGTTTTGTTATTTTTTTTGTTTTTTTTTTAATATTAATAAAATAATTACTTCTGTTAACAAAAGAATGCTTTTCATATATTCAAACATACTGTATATAGTCTATTTGTCAAACATTGGTTAAAATTATAAATATATCATTTGATAAAATAAAATGCATTGTGTTTTGGTCATTCATTCATTTTCTTTTCGGCTTAGTCCCTTTATTGATCCGGGGTCACCACAGCGGAATGAACCCCCAACTTATCCAGCACGTTTTTACGCAGCGGATGCCCTTCCAGCTGCAAGCCATCTCTGGGAATCATGTTTTGGTCATTTTCAACAATTTTCTTGCCATTTTTATATATATATATATATATATATATATATATATATATATATATATATATATATATATATATATATATATATATATATATAAATATAAGAAATATCATGTTTATGAAAAAGAAGTTTGACAAATGTTTAAAGTGAAAATAAGAAATATTAATAAAATATATGAAGAGTTTAGATGCAAAAACCTCCAAAAGTCATTTTTCTTCTAAAATTTGCATTTTTCTCCTACTCCTTTGTTTTAGCTCAGTAATTTTACATTTATAATGAAGGATAAGTTATTTTCATTGCCTTTCAAGTGAAATAACTGCACATTAACATAGGAAAAATGCTAATTTTAGGAGAACATTTCAAACAACATTTAGAGGTTTTTGCTTCTGAACTCTTCAAATATTTTCTTTAAAAGCATGCAAGTCTTAATTTTTAAAAATGAGATGTTGAAAGATCAATACAATACTACACTACCTGACAAAAGTCTTGCCACATTTCCAAGTTTTAGGAAAAACAAATAATAACTTGACTTCTAGTTGATGAATTGGTATCAGAAGTGGCTTCTTGCAGGACTCCCGGTATTCTTTATTAGTTCATTCTATTAGTTCATCAAGATTCTTTGGATTCATCTTCATGGCCTCCTCCTTTATCTTACCCCAGACATGCTCAATATCGTTTATCTCTGGTGACTGGGCTGGCCAATCCTGCAGCACCTTGAACTTTTTTGCTTTCAGGAACATTCATGTGCAGGCTGAAGTATGCGAAGGAGTGTTATCCTGCTGATGAATTTGCCCTCTCCTGTGGTTTGTAATGTAATGGGCAGCACAAATGTCTTGATACCTCAGGCTGTTGATGTTGCCATGCACTCTACAGATCTCCCCATATTAAATGTAACCCCAAACCATGATTTTTCCATCACCAAAAAAATGACTTATTTCTGTGAGAATCTTGTGTCCAAGTGGGTTTCAATAGGGCTTCTGCAGTATTTCTAAAGAGTTGGACACAGTTCAACAGATGATTTATCAGAAAAATCTGCCACTTTTCCAAATGATCAACTAGAAGTCAAGTTATTATATTTTGCTCTTACAACTGGAATCAACAACAAGTCTTTTGTCAGATAGTGTATATTAATATATTATTGACTGATTAACTTATTTATTTAGTTTTGAAGTTGAAATTATTATAGAAATGTTGCACACTATAATGAAATATAGCTTTTTCTTTAAAGCCTTCACATAATTTTCCAAATGAAAATCAACACCGTAACCAACATAAACCTTCTAGAGGTGAGACGTGCATAAATTCTGTTTTGTGGGCTTGGGATTCTCCTCACTATCTCAATCCTGAGACAGATCGGCATGTGAGTCTGTCAAACATACATGCGCCCCCACATCCACCACGCATCTGACTGAGCCCCAACAGATGAATAACACAGAGAAATCCACACGCCGCCTGCTGCTTCTGTGATCAAATCTAGCATCGTGCTATTACTCAGCAGCAGAAGGGGAAGTGGAAGACGTGACTCTGACAAATAAATAAAGATACGTGCACACGTTCTTAATCATTACAGCACTAATATGGGCATCCAAGTGTGAAGAAGACTGTGAAAAAAAATGCCTTTGCTTCAGCTTCCTAAGAATATTAAATAAATAAAAAGCAGACACTTGAGTTTGTTTTTGGATGGGTGTCAGGCCTTTTTTTTCTTCTTTAAAGTCTTTCAAACCATTTTTGGTGATAAGGTGACATTTAATTGAGGTTCAGAGACTTTTAGATCCCAAAACCACACTGACTTCTGCAGTTATACAGCATTTTTTAATCCTTAAGCCACGGTCACACTGCACTTTTCGCCCCATACACTTCCATTCATACGCAAGCTTGTGCGACAAGTTTTGCAGTTCACTGCATTGCAAAGTTCAAGCTTTGTAAACTTTGACCTCATCATGTGACTACAGACGATCAATAAAAGATCATTAAAAGATGATTTAAATGTAAAATATGGACCAATCGCTCAATTATTAAATGTCTAATCGTCTTGTTTATTCCCGCCCTTTTTCTCAGAGTCATATGAAAGAATTTTGCATGCTCAACCTCTAGTGTTACCACGGCATCACATTTAGAAACTGATTCATAACACAGTTGACTGGGATTTCTTAATTAGTGATGTTTTATGAACACATTTCAGGAGGAGTGTGCACAGGTGTTTTGTCAAGGCTAATTCATTATTGTTAATCTTTCTATTATCCAATCAGCGCAAGACCAAACCACTATAAACAGTCAAGCATGTCCTACCTTCGTTTACTCTAAACTTTCAGTATCCCTTCACCACCCCAACTCCACACCTTTAAACATGATTTCTACATACATTGGAGTGGGGCTTAGCATTCTGAGGCCGGGCAAGAGGGGCTGGGGTTTCCTAGCATTCTGAGGCCAGGCAAGACACTGTGCTCAGACCACTACCTGTCAATCTATCCTGACAAGGAAAATAACACAAGATAAGACTGATTTATACTTAAAGCACATGCATATGCTCCGGCACAACCTTCATGCGGTCGCATAACCTTCGCTGACGTGCGCATGACGTGTAGAGCAAGCTCTGTGATTGGTCGGCCTGGTAGCTGTGACCTGTATGCGAACACGTGAGAGCGAGTGCTTACAAGTGTCGAGTCGTATGAAGTAGCTCTGATAGAAACTGCTGTTTGTGTTTACCTTAAGATTAATGTGGTTGCACATCTGCTGGTTCCCACCTCTGAATGAGGGAGTTTTAGCTACTTGTGTATTAAGGTAATGTTCTGAAAAAACAAAACACCTGCGAAGAAACCCGACACAGAGGAACCTAACATAACCGACTGCCAGCTAGTGTTTCGGAAGTGTTATTGCAGAACAACACAAACAGCATGCAGAAGTATAATTGCACGACTAAACGCAAGGCAGGCACTGTGGGTCACGGCGATCACTCAGAAGTAGAAGTATAAATCAGCCTTTACACTTCTGCGTCAAGCACACAATTATGGTACGGCACAGCCTGTGTGGTCGTATACCCCTCACCATGGCTGACGCACACCTCTCAAAAAATGTAACCACATCGCAACGACGCTTACTGCAAGCTCTGTGATTGGTCAGCTTGGTATCGCTGAGAGCTGCGAGCCCGATGGAGCAATTGTTTGCAAGTGTCGAGTCCTGTAAACAATCTCCAGATGGAAATTTTTAATTTGTGTTTACCTTGTGATTAAAGTTGTTGCACATCCGCCGGTTCCCGCCTCTGAATGAGCGAGTTTTGGCTACTTGTAGCGTTCAGGAAAAACAAGATATCCATGACGAAACTCGCCACAGAGCAGCATAAAATCTACTGCCAGCTAGCGGTTAGGAAGTGTTCTAGAACATTTCAGAAACACTTGCTGGCAGCAGGTTTAAATGTTCCTCTGTGTTGAGTTTTTTTGCAGGTGTTTTTCTGAATGCTACCTAAATGTACAAGTAGCTAAAACTGGCTTTTTCAGAGAAACATTCAACAACTTCTATCATAAAATGAACACAAGACAAAAGTTTCCTTCTGGAGCTCCTTTATGAGACTCCACACTAGTAAACACTTGCTTCATCAGGCTCATGGCTCTCAGCACTGCCCACACTCGTTACTACCCAGGCTGACCAATCAGAGCTTGTGTTCGTTGCGACTTTTAGTTACATTTTTTGAAAGGTGTGCGTCAGCACCAGCCACTATGCGACCGCGCGCAGGCTGCACCGGGCTATACGCATATGCTTGACGCAAAAGTATAAATCAGCCTTTAATCTTCCCGAGCTTGGAGCACTCTCCCCAAACAGCATACCAAATATGCATATCCTATTCAGCCAAATGTCTGGAACTCGTGAGTTTTGTGTTTTTGCTATTTTTTGAAAGCCATTTCTCATTTATCATTATAAAATATTAATAACTGTGTGGTGTTTGCAATTGTTTTCATTCAAATCTTTTTTAAAATATGTAATATTTAGAGTAAACAATTAAAAGGCTGTGCAGTATCAGCTAATGGTCAATTATGTCTGTCCGTGTTGCTAAGTAACAGTCTTGAAATGAAGCTGATCAAAAGAAAGATGCCAAAGGGCCAAACGATTGCAGCAAATTAGTTTGGAGTGTGGGAGGATATTTGGTTTGTGTTTAGGACTACTTGACTGTGGGTTGGTAATATGGCACACAAATGCCTTCGGCTTTCAAACTATTCACCAGCAAACAATATTTGATTTCCAGGCCAGAACATTCTCTGTTTGTTCCAGGAGAAAAAAAAAATCTTCTATAGGATCCTACTTTAATATAATGTTTAAATAGTTAGTTCACTTCAAAATGAAAGCAACCTGTTATTAATTACTCACCCTGATGTCATTCTGAAACCCTGAAACCTTTATTCATCTTCAAACCAAAATTAAGATATTTTTAGTGAAATTTCGTTCACGAAAGCAATGTGCTCTGTATGTTTGTTGTGCTTTGTTCTAAACAGAGAAAGTTGTGCGTAGGCATCAGTGAACAGCTATCTTGTCAGTGAGCGCCCTAAACTGACACTGAAGAGAATAAACTTTTTAATAAATGTATTATTTTAATTTTTTTGTGCACACAAAAATATTTGTGTAGCTTTTTAACATTACAATTGAAGTCACATGGACTGTTTTGATGATGTTTTAGATACCTTTCTGGGCGATCATTGCTTTCTAGAGAAGGTCAGAAAATGCTCATATTTTATTCAAAATATCTTCATTTGTGCTTAAAGATGAACAAAGGTATCTAGTGTTTGAAACGACATAAGGGTGATTAATTAATGACCGAATTTTCATTTCTAGGTGAACTACGCAGTGAAATTGTAACACAAATCCTTCCTGAAATGTTAAGGTTAGATTTTGGTCAAACTAAGTCAATATTTAAAAAAAAAAAAAAAAAGCTTTGATACCATTTAATAAATAATTAGTTAAAGATGTTTTAATTGAATTTAAAATCCACTCAAAGTGCACACTGAAATACTCAATGCATTTATGAATTAAGGGATGGCAGATTGGTTGCTTATGATATAGATATATATTTGTAGAATGATTTTTTTTAGGGTTTTCACCTTGGATAGGACAGTAGAGTTTTGACAGGAAAGCGTGGGGAGCCGAGAGAGGGGGAAGGACCGGCATAGGACCTCAAGGCTGTAATCAAACTTGGGTTGCCGTGAGCACCGGAGTGCTTGTATCAACGCACTACCACTACACCATTGGTGCCGACCTTATGATATTTTTATTTAAATCAAATTAGAAATTCCTTTCTGATTCAATGGGGAAAAAGAGCAGCTTAAATATTCTACTAAACTTCACAAAAAAGCTTCTAGATAAACATGAAAGAATATCTGAGTGCAGTTTTACTTTAAGTATCATATGAGAAGCCAAATGCAAAGAAAACTGTCCTTACGGCTGCAGGGATGCTTATTTAAAAGTGAAAAGGTGAGGGAAAAAAGGTTAATGTGTGTTTATGAGTATGCAGGGCAGACTAACCTGACAGTAGGTCAATGTGTGTGTGCGTCTGCGTGTGTGTAAACATGCTCTGAGCCAGATTTCAACAGTCCCTTGTGCAATAATCTGACAATAAAGCAAACCTATGCTCTATAAATCCACTTACTTTCTTAATACATATCTATTGTGATCCATTAAATCTATTAACTTAACAGACAAACGACTTGGTTCAGACCAGCGAAATAAGGCATTTTCTTCACTGACTTCAGCAAGTATAAATATTTCATTCTAGACATTTTAAGCGCTGCTTTTGGGGTAAGCATTCGGCATATATTATTTAAATCAATTTCCTGTCATCTCAGTGGTGTAAGACAGCATGAAAAACGAGTTTCACTTCACTAATGGGGTTTTATTACACAAGAACATGACGTAATAGTCATTAATAAAAACAAACACACATTAGAGCTGTGCAAAACGTACACCTCCTATAAAATATCTGAAGTTTTAAAACTGATCAAATGTGTTCATATATAGTAATTAAAAAATATCATTTTTGTCTTATAAAAATACTCTATCCTTCAGAAAAAAAATGAAAGGACATAACAATAAGAAACAGAGGGTGGACAGATAAAAGACAGGAGAAAGAGTGGCTTAAATGGACAATAAAACCTATGATGGTGTGCGGTTTTGAGAGAACTGAGATGAAATCATAGAATGCTACATTCAAAATGAAGTAAATTAATGCACCCTGTTCAGTTGACAACATAATCACACGGCAATTTGTAACTATTAAAGTTAAGTTTGTGGCTGATTCTTTTGAATTTTGTAAGCTCTAGTTCATACATTTTCCCACAGACCACTTGCATAAATAAACCAATATTGCCACATTGTAAAACAGTTACATCTTTCCAGGAGATCATGTTGGTATTGAATATATAGAACCATGTTCATGTGGCATATCCACTTTAAAGTCTGGAAGCTCATGAAAAGTCTTTGAGTGCTTGAGTTAGGAACATTTCCATACACAAACCGCCAAACTTCCACCAAAGAACATGTAAAGCAGGTTCTTGACTTCATGTGTGATTTCGAACCCGAAGCCTTCGCCAATCACCACATGCCAAGAGCTCCCAAACTTCTTATCCATCGACTCCTTTATCATTTTAGCTGCGCTCTGTTGAAAAAAAAAAAAAACAGACAATCAGAAGGAATGTACAGTGTTTGGTAGTAATTAGCTACAATGTCATTCAATTACTTCCACTGAAAAAAGAGTTTATTTTTAGGTCCACTAGTTACAGTTACTTGTGATGTACTTGCCTAAATAAGTTCTGTATAAATCAAGTCTGATAAGCAGAGTAGTAGTATTTTTGTGGTACAAATGAAACCTAGAGAAGGATATATTTCTCAAGAGAGTTGCACATGTTTAAAAAACATTGAACTGAGTAATTGAAACTTGAAACTATGTTTTGATGCATATTACGTTAAAATGATAAAAGGGTCATGAAACCCCCCAAGCACATTTTTGGAGATTGACAATGACTAGGCCTGTCATTCATATCTATTTTTTGTTGTACGATATTATTGCACCAAAACACATTGAAATAAATGGTATTAATGTATTTTTATGACCATTTTATGCCACTCATTATATAGTTCCAGAATGACAATATAATAGCATCATAATGCAAGTACAATCTTCCAAAGCACAAATATTATATGATTCTTACGAATATTTAATTTAATTATAGTTATTTTAACAATGTAAAAATTGGGCATTGAAATTAGAATGTGAAATGCATATCCTAAATAAATAATAATAAATGTTAGCAAAAAAGTACAACTTAAAAAACAACAGAGATTGAAATATCTGCTATCAGATCTATTTTCCGTTTTCAGAGACTGACATGATGTAGTATAGTAATTTATAGTAAATACTATAGTGTTTTTTAGCCATACTGACACCAATAGAGATAGAAAGGTTACACAATCAGCTACAATGTTGCTAGAATAGTTTTTATGTATGGGTGATATATTCAGGGTATATGCAGGAATCCAAAAGGTAATTGTAATACCTTTAAAAAAAGACCTTCTTAGAATATTTTAAGACTTCATTGTCTTTTCAAGTTATTATCAGTATCAAACATTTAACTTATTAAACAGTTGTTGATAAACAGTTGTAGTTAAATAAATCAATGAAGCACAACCATCCAACAAAACTCAGATAAGCCCAGAAGAAACAAAGCTTAAAAGAGTAAATTACGTGGTTGTTTTTAAAGACTGTTTAAACCTGTCTTTCTTCAACCAGGAGTACGCAAACTTAAGTAACACTTTATTATAATGGTCCACTTGAGTATTACTAGACTGTCTGCTTAGCATCTGTTGATACTGCTCCTTCAACAGACATTCAACTGACTATAAGAAACTTTGCAAGTACATGTCAACTTACACTAACCCCAACCCCAACCTAACAGTCTACTTATAATCTAAGGGCCTACTCACACTATGCTCTCTGAACCGTGCCCAGGCCCGTTTCCCAGATCGTTTGGGAAGTGTGAGTGCATTGAATCAGGCTCAGGCACGGTTCACTTGGCCGGCTATGGCCCGGTTGGAAGAGCTGGGCCTGAGCGTGGTTCACTTGGGCTTTGGCGCAGTTAGCTGTGTGAAAGCAAAACGCGCCTATGCCCGAAACTGAAAGCAAGACGTGACTTTTAAGGGGCTGTTCCATATGGATTAATTATTCATTCCTACTGTTTAATAAATGCAAACTGTCGTAGATTATTGCAGGAGTTTTCAAACTTTTTCAGCTGAGGGCCCATTTGTGTAGGGCGAATTCTTTTGGGGACCCCCAAAAATAAAAATGACGCCACCCCCTCAAATTAACAACTGTACTTAATTTTTTTTTTTAAATTGTATTATTCAATACATTTATATTATTATATATTATTCAATAAATTTATATTATTCATTATCTGGATTAATTTTTGTAAGATGTTAGTTGAGCTGACATGGTTTCAGTGCTTCAATCTATTGATCAAATCTTGATGCGCAGTACTCATTGTGGTCTGCTCTCACTGGATTATTCCATCAAGCCATATTTTGTGTACAAGTCGTCACTTTACACAGTTTTTATGCCATTTTTATGCTTTTTTCAGCCTATGCACAGCTAGACTCTTCTGTACTTACCCTTACAGCTGAGAGTCTAAATGTATCAAAAGATTTAAAGCTTTAAAGTTTTTAAGAGTTTTGTCAGTCATCAGCCTGTTAACAGTTAACTGTACTGTTGTAACTAGCAATACTACAATAGAGGCTGTAGTGGTTCAGTGTGTTGAAGTTTTGTTTATTTTTATTCCTTTTTTTTTTTGTGCACATCATAATTTACTCAGGTCGGCAATCCTGACTTACACTGATAAAAAATAATTTCCTAAATGCAATCTAGAATTGGGTATTCAAGTTCAAAGAGCCACAAGTTTTACTTTGCATAATTTTAGAAGCTTTGCTGACTTTAAAATGTTCATACCAGTTTGTTCTATTAATAATAATACTGAACATTACATTTAAATTAATTACACAAACAAATATGGGAAAAAGTGGAACAAAAATGCATTTATATTCAGAGTATTAAAATTTGAGCAGGTATGTTGAGCTCCATTAAATACAGAGCACTAATACATTTTAATATTTAATAATTATTAGCCCTATAACATAACACAAACAGATACATTATAATTTTTATAGGCTATAGTGGTTTTACTCAGGGTGTATAAAATTTAGTTTTTTTTAATCATTATGAACCAATGTGAGTAAGAGGTCCACTGCAGAGCTCATCCAGCTGTCATTAGTGTAACAGGAGTGAAACTGAGCACTCGCTGATGTGATGACAGCTCTATTCATTGTTATTGCAGCACTTTTTGCTTTACAATTTTAATATGTTTGTTTGCCATGCAGCAAAGAAGACCGTCTGATATTTGTACAATGCAAAGTGTAAAGCCTGTCGCGCTGTGGACGAGGTGCAATGTTGTGCCGTGTCTTTAAAATGCTATTTGTTCCCTATGAGTGAAGCCTGCGCAGAGAGGCGCATACTCCGCAGCACCCAGCTGATCGGTTACTTAGGAACGCAAGCCATAAACAGGGAGTGCTTTCAGCCACTGATAATGTTCTTATTGATCATGTATTTTAACTGAAATATAGTCAGTCAAACCGAGCATTCATTTAGTTGTTTAGCGTAAAAGAGGTAAGCGTAAGTGAAAGGTAAACGCCGTCAGGTGCAGCAGACAAGCGCTAAAAATCACAGTCAGGAAGCGCCTGGCCAGAAGCGCTTATTCAATAAAAGTCCCCGTCCACAGAGGCGGGCCGCTGCGCTTCTTTTCCTGTGTCACGAAAGTGTCAACTGCATTTAAATGACATAAGCATAAAGCTTAATTTTTGCAGTACTTTTGAGCTCAAATTATAATAAAAATATATTAACCTTCAGAATGATGCGGGACACAAAATTCATCCATGTGGGCTCATTGATCTAAAATTTCTTTGCGGCCCCCCTGGCGCCATCTGGCGGCCCCCCAGGGGGCCGCGGCCCCCAGTTTGAAAACCCCTGGATTATTGCACCTTCAGCAACCACTTAATTCCTGCAGCACGAGGACTTTATGGTTGTTTATGAGAGCCAAAAGTGTTCGGCGAAATATTTGACTGCATGTCACCGCATCCCAAACGACTTACACGATATAACTAAAGAAATGTCCACTGTGCTGAGCGAGAGCGCTTCTCTTCGGTTAAACTGAACAGCGCATCAATGACGTAAGCGTGCCCAGGCCGGAATGTAATGTGAGTGCGGGGGTCGGGGGAGATGGGAGGGGGGACAAGCATGCTTTGGCCAGGTTAAAGGCAACTGATCCCTAAGGGCCTACTCACACTATGCTATCCTAACCATGCCCAGGCCCGTTTACCAGATCGTTTGAGAAGTGTAGGTGCTCTGATTCGGGCTCAGGCACGGTTCACTTGGCCGGCCTTGGCCCGGTTGGAAGAGGTGTGCCAGAGCCCGGTTCACTTGGGCGCAGCACTTGTTGCACTTGTAGTGTGAGTGCAAGCGTGCCTGAGCCCGAAACTGAAGACGAGACATGACTTTTACGGGACTGTTTCATATGGACTTATTAATCATTCTTACTGTTTATTGAATGCAAACTGTCATAGATTACGGGTTGTTGTGATGTCGGCCGTCACCGTAGAAAGTCTAATCTTTCTTTAATTTTTTGGACTTTTGTTTGACAGCTTTACGAGGAGCACTGTAGCTGTAGCACCAAGGTACTGTTGTATGATTTAAATTATAGTCTATATATGCACCAATAAACAAGTCAAATGAATGAATAAATAAAATAAAGATGGATTCTTAAATATCGGTTTTGATTTTACTCTAAATAATATGAATACGTTTTGACAAATGTTTCTTTGGGTCTGTGTGTGTGTGTGTGTGTGTGTGTGTGTGTGTGTGTGTGTGTGTGTGTGTGTGTGTGTGTGTGTGTGTGTGTGTGTGTGTGAGAGAGTTTTTGGTGTATCTTTAATATGGATCGCTATGCAAAATATTTTCTAAAACATCAAGCAGGAACTTGTCTACAGCTCGTTAATTATGAAGATAAAAAAAATTAAATAACAAAAATAAAATGCTAAAAATACAAAGATAAAAAGAGCAGCATTTTGCTAAATATTACTTTATATGCTTTATATCCTGCTATGCTGTGTTGTTTCATATTCGTTTTTTATTGCACTTGATGCATTCGTTATATGTTTGAATACTAAAACAAACAACAGCCATTGTTTAAATTCTAATATTTTACCATCAAAATGTAGTATATTTTATATAATTATCAACGTTTGATATAAAACCGCTGTGTAATTTGATTGACTGTTAAAAATGAAATAATTTAAGTGCAATATTTTTATTAGTGAAAGTGCCTGCTGACTTTTGACAAGGTCAATGCAAAAATATATTTCTGCCACTAATACAAATGCACGATTATTGTTGCATTATCATTGTTGTTTTTTTCTGTAATGTACGGAGATTTGAAATGTATTATTTATTTCCCCTCTAATCATTTTCAATAATCACGTTACATTTTGGTAATTTGACCTGAGGCATGCAACATATGAGCTCTAAATAAATACGGGTGCAGTGGCTTGTAGCTATATTTAGCACTCCTATGTGAGAGAGTGGCATAACAGTGTTTAGTTATGTGGTTGTTTTCGCTTTTACACATAAGAATAAAAAAAAAATGTTTCGGCTTTTATTTAAATTTGATTGAACAAAGGGAGCCGTTTACATTGTTTTACCAAAGCAACTACTGATGCGTTTTGCGTATCGTTCCGGAGCTTTGTTGCTGCAGGACGGTAGAAAGTGAAGCCCTATCTATGCTGTCAGGCCCGGTCTGGCACGGAATGAAATGGTTCAGCACGATAGTGGAAAAGCAGCTTAAATGTTTTTTTTATTTAGTTTTTTGATAGTAATGACCACTGACCTCATTATTAGTGGCAAACTTTTCACACGCTGTAACACAGAGCTCCATGGTCTCTACCCGCATCTCTTCAGGCATATCAGTATGCTGTGGAGGAAATTTGAATTAATCAAATAGGATTAATCATCAATAAAGGCCCTGATTACTTTTTTCTTAAATTTTCATTAAGCTGTAAAAAAATAAATAAATAGATGTTGAAATACTGAAGATATAATGTCAGTACATCCCTACACTGCCCACAGGAAAGAATGAGAAAGGGAGAAAAGGAAGAAATGGAGGTGTAGAAAGGCAGTGAAAGCTCAGACAGCAGCTGAAATCTCTCAGTAGTTCTTCAGCAATCCTCTGACCTTCGTCAGTGTCAATTAATATTCGCTGCGTCAGTCCAAAATCTCCATTACCAAACATTACTACATAACACAGCCAAGGAAAATCTCAAATGCTTTCAAAGAAAGAAAACCAAGCCATAGAATGGCCTAGTCAATCACCTGACTTCAGATCAATCAATCTATCAAATATAAAATACAAATTAAAGATCAGTTTTGATAGACGAGACCCACAGACCCGTCAAGATTTTTACACTCTGTTTAAGTCTGTGAAAAACTCACAACTAAGCAATGAAGGGGTCTTAAATCTCCATATGAGAAGCATCTTTAAGCTGCCTTCACCAAAAAAAGCCTTTATTAGTATTAAATATATTTCAGTAGTTCAGTACTTTCTCTTTGTGTCATTCCATTATTACAAGTAATTAAGTTTTCAGATTTTTTTTGTGTTGTTGTATTTTAATGTTTGTATTGTTTGGGTTTTTACTAAAAATCTGGTTCAATTCCATGTCTACAGCTTCTTTATAAATATTATTCTCAGGAAAAAAAACATGACGTGTTCAAAACTTATTTTCCCTACTGCACGTTTTCACCTCAACAATGTAATAAAAAAATAATTTAAAGTGCTGGGAATAGCAGAAAAGAAAGCATCTGGCAATTGAGAGGTGGATATGGGAATGATGAGGATATCACGTTTTTAAAATAGATTGGTTTAAAGTTATCATCATATTTTTTTTAAGTTCATCATCACATCTTTTTTGTCCAGATAGAATTACACTTACATTTTTCCCATGAAACAGCTCTTAGAGAATTACTGCAGTAATACCTTTACAATTATGTCAATGGTGTTGCAGATAAATATAGACCCATCTCCTAGTGTTGCCATTTTTGGGGTTCCAACGATTTGGTCCCAGTTTAATTCTAAGCAGCTTGATATTTTGGTCTTTACATCATTATTAGTTAGGCGACGACAACAACATCCCAATGGCTTGTGAATATCATGCATTTTCTAAAGTTGGAAAAAGTTAGATGCTCTGGGAAAACTAATTTCTTTAAAAAGTGCCAATGTTTTATAACTTACTTTTATTCTCTTAACATCTTGCATTCCATTTAAAAGACACTCTCTCCTTCCTTAGTAATTTTATTTTTGTTTGTTTTAACTATTATTATCTTTTACTGTTTAATTGTAAATATTACTTTTAACATTGACAATATATCGGAACATTTGATTGTGATTGTTGAATGTCTTCATTCAGTTGGTTGTAATTTTCTGTACACTTGTATTACTCGTTTCCATTTCTTTCACCGTATTATTATTATCATTAGTATTTTTATTATTATTATTATTCTCTATTGTAAAAAAAAAGATAATATGTAACTATTTATACTGAAATAGTATTTTCGTAACAAAATATTTTGACATAAAACAGCTCTTCAGTGTTGACATCTGACCTCAACAAAGATTTCCAGCTCAAAGAGGGCAGAGCCCTAGAGCCAGACCTACCTATTATGTGATTGATCACAGACCAATGACAGACCAAAGGTGTTTAAAAGCCAAAGAAAAAGCCTTACAAAGAAAAAATCTGAGCAATAATAATGTATGTAAAGTGTCAAAACTAATTGTGTGAATTTGTGTTTTAATTACATTTGCTTGTTAATATGAGCTACATATTTCTTGACTGAAATAATAAAAAAGATCACAGTTGTTTTTAGCATTTGGTTTTTACACTGCGTGTATTTACATCCCTTTGTGTCTGTTTATTTACCTGGGAATAAAACGCAGGGTATAAATTAGGTAAAATGGTCAAGTTTATACACTATTAAAAATTAAAAATTCCCCTTATCAATCACTCTATTGAACATTAAGAAATATATTTTTATGTGTCTCTCTGTGGGAAAGGTGTTGGGTTTTTGCATAGTGCCTTTAATATCTTGTTTATATTCATTTCTTTTCCTTTAGTCCCTTTATTTATCAGGGGTAGCCACAGCAGAATGAATCAGCAATTTCTCCACCATATGTTTTATGCAGCAGATGTCTTTTCAGCTGCAACCCAGTACTGGGAAACATCCATACACACTCATTGTCACACACACACACACACACACATACTCTACGGCCAATTTGATTTATTAAATTCACCTATACCGCATGTCTTTGGACTGCAGGGAAAACCGGAGGAAACCCATGCCAACACGAGGAGAACATACAAACTCCAGACAGAAATGCCAACTGTCCCAGCCAGGACTCGAAAAAGCAACCTCCTTGCTGAGAAGTGACAGTGCTAACCACTGAGCCACCATGTCACCCCATCTTGTTTATATATTATTAATATATGTTTTGTCACTAAATGTACTCTCAATTGCCCGAGAAGAAAATTCTCCATAGGGAGACAAATAAAGCTAAATATTGATTCATTCAATCATTCATTGAAACAGTTAACAGCTAAAAAAAACAGCCAAAATACTGTTTATATTATTTATTGTGATGGGGGAATTGTATTTAAACAAATAAACATTAAGTTACCCTGAATCTGGCCCTAACACCAGTCCACTTTCTACTCAAATGTATTTACGCAGCAGTTTTTACCCTTATAAGAGGAAAGTTATGTAGTCTCTTATAATCTGCCTCTTCCTTCTTGCCATCAACCGTCTCTGCCATTATGTTCAGCCCTAGGTGAGAGAAATATATACAAGATTAATGTCACTTATAAAAAATAAATAACAATATGAAAAATCTAATTTAATAAATCTAAGATTCATATTTGTATTAACGTTATAGCTTCAGAATGTGGATGACAGTAATATTATGGTGCTTTGGGCACAGATACTTTTTACACCAAAATTCTTCTGTTGAACATGAAAGAAGATATTTTGTAGAAAGCTAAAAACCTGTAACGTTACAAGGTATACATTACCATGGTATGATGTTACCATACCAAATCATGGTAATTCACGTTGACATCAATTTTGGATAAAATTATAGTTTATGATGCTTGCTGGTAACGTTAGTTATACTTGCTTATGAAGTGACCATTTACGTTAGCCTAGTTAAAAACACGAACACTGTAACGTTACCAGTTATAATGAAACCTGCTAGCTTCCTAGCATCTTTGGCTAACTTGTATAGCTGGGTTATTAGTTTTCATTTCTATTAATGTTTATTTCTCGCTATATGTGTGTCTATCAATGCAAATAACCGAAAACGAGAGCATAACGAGACATTTACCTACCGTAATTAAAGAAAACAAGTTTTATGTGCTTAAAACGACGTCGCTATGGAGACATGTCCACCATGGCAACCATTCCTAGCCGACACAGCTGTGTGTGTAACTCCACCCCTTGTGATGCGTCGCGTGTTGTGATTGGATAGTGGGCGTGTATTTGTGGGAACACGTGGTACGTGGTAGTGATTTTTTTTGTGCTCTAACCAGCACGTAGTTATATTATACAATAAAATCCCTTCACATTCCTTAACAAGAAGGATTAAATGAGAAAAGAATATAATTGAATATAATTAAATAAAAAATTTATAAAAAAAATAAAAAGGTTTACTGAATCTGTGTTTTATTCGATAATGGAAAGCTATAATGAGTTTTTATTATTAGATAGATAGATAGATAGATAGATAGATAGATAGATAGATAGATAGATAGAAAGATAGATAGATAAAAAGATGATAGATGGATGGATGGATGGATGGATAAATATATAGATAGATAGATAGATAGATAGATAGATAGATAGATAGATAGATAGATAGATGGATGGATGGATGGATGGATGGATGGATGGATGGATGGATGGATGGATGGATGGATGGATGGATGGATGGATAGATAGATAGATAGATAGATAGATAGATAGATAGATAGATAGATAGATGATGGATGGATAGATAGATAGATAGATAGATAGATAGATAGATAGATAGATAGATAGATAGATAGATAGATAGATAGTAGATGGATGGATGGATGGATAGATAGATAGATAAATAGATAGATAGATAGATAGATAGATAGATAGATAGATAGATAGATAGATAGATGATGGATGGATGGATGGATGGATGGATGGATGGATGGATGGATAGATAGATAGATAGATAGATAGATAGATAGATAGATAGATAGATAGATAGATAGATAGATAGATAGATAGATAGATAGATAGATAGATATAATAGCTAAATATCAAAATAGCTAAATAAAAGTGGAAAATGTGTGCTTGGTAATTAGTAGAATAAACTATAAAATAAAAATACAGTATGTTAATTTAATTGAATTTTATGTCATTATATTTTTTTTTAGTTTTAATGACTATAACAACTCTCATATGGTTTATTAATTTAGTTTAAGAATGACATGCTGTGAAGATTAATGAATGATTAATGTTTATGCATTTATTTGCTTTATTAGCAAAATAGCAAATACAAAGTAAGACAACTATTTAGATATTGTGCATAAATACATGAAAAGGCATAGAAAACAGTTCATGTTTTAAAAGCACCAACATCTTATCTTTCTGGCATATTAATAAAACAAATAACCCGGTAACACTTTACAATACGGTTCATTAGTTAATGCATTTCCTAACATGAACTAATCATGAACAACACATGTACAGCATTTATTAATCATAATTGAACATTTACTAATACATTATTAACATCTACAACAAGTTCAAGGATCACTTTATATATAAGGTGAAAAGAACAAACCTTCACCCATGGCAAAATATACAAGTTGATTTGGCCTCTGCGGGGCATAACTTATTAGCTCTAGTCTGTCAACAAAGTTTTTCAGACCAAACTATGGTGGCCAAGAAAACACATGCAAACAGAAAAACACTCACAAACTGAGAAAACAACATGCATTTTATCAACACACACTAATGCAAACCATCACAACACATGCAGCTACAGAAAAGTGTTGCAAATAGTGCAGACCAGGGGCTCCGCTTGGGTTGGTCGTGGGCCCTAATAACATCTCTGGAGGCCCCCAAAATGTGTGGGCCCTTAGAATCGTCCTAACTCTATCCCCCCTTGTGGCGCCCTGGGTGCAGACCTTAACCATTTTTTGAGAAGCATGCTGGGTACTTCTGGTTAACTGTCAATTCTTCGTAAGTGGATTACTCAATTAGCTGGATTTGATTACTGACGATTTGACACAGTTCAGGATCATTTCTTCTTCAAAACTCATCTGAGAGTTGTTGTCATACCAACAGTTCTGGTTGCTTAAAATCTGCAGGAGCAGGCTTATTTCATATACAGTAGACAGCATTTGATTAGGAGTTTTCAAGCAAAGGTAATACTGAAAGTATGTAGCAAATGCTTATACTTTTTAACAGTAGTAACCTATAGATTACAAACACTAGGGAAAATAGTAAAATAAGTACATACATTACAAATAGAAGTAAAAAAAACTAAAAACTAAAACTGTTATGCAATCTACACTCCAAAATAAAAGTACAAAAACTGTCATGGGGTGTTTCTCTCCTCAAGGGGTTCAAAGAGAACATTAATTAATATGGACTTTTTAGATACAAAAACGTTCTATTTTAAGCCACCAGCTTTAGTACAATTTGTATATGATAATGGACATAGCCAATATTCTCATTTTTTTAAGGAATAATAATTTATGCATGCACACATTTTGACAGCTAATATGACGGTGATTTGATGCTTTGCAAAAGTTGCAGACGCCTTTACCAATATCAAAATGCTTATTCTATGCATAATTCATTTAAAACTACAGTTAATAAGAAACTTAAATAGACCTAGGCTAATATAATAAAGAAAATTCATTTTAAAGGGCACCTATGGTGAAAAATCTACTTTTCAAGCACACTGTAAACCCTAATGCTGTAACTAATTAATTGAGTTGAGTTCTATTAACTTAAATCATTAAAATTCGTTTATCTTAATTAACCTTGATGAGTATTTAGAACTTTTTCTTATTTTTGAGTTTGTAAAAATTTAATCTTTCAAGTAAGGTGAACAATTCTGCTGGGTTTAATCTATACAAAATGTCTCTTTAAAGTTTCATTAACTCAAATTCTGTCAGCCTAGTGATTTTGCGTCTGACGTCATCCAGGTTCACGTACGTGCTCATGCTTCATTCGTTTTTTTCAAGATGGCGGATCGGCCTCGCTTCACACTACAGTAAGTAAAATATTTACAAATCCAAGAAATATTAAATGTATGTTTTAATTAATATAATCACAGTAACAGTTCAATGTAATGTAGAGTTAATCAGGGTGCGTTTACATGTCGTACATTACAGAAAACATGTTTAGCCTCACTTGTTGCTAACTAACGTTAACATTACTGTTTAAAAAGTTAGAATCAGTGCAATGTTAGCGTTAGTTGTAATGTGTTAACTCTGAATTTTAACAGAGTGTGATAAAGACAAAAATATTTAAAATCGGCAGATTACATTTTTCAAAAAAATTTAAATCTTGGCGCGAGTATGCCTTTTCTCAGCCTGTGCTGAAGTTGTCATGGAGACGCGCGCTCTCACAACCGCATGTCATGGCGCTGCGCTGAACTCCATCCAGTCTGTGAATGTGGTATTATCTTCGCGATCTGTAGGCACTTCGGAAACGAAAGGTGCAAGAAACGTAACGTTAATCATAACTCAAATGATCTCCGCCTAAACACTTAATGGTATTTTCTGATGACGCGCAAAAACGTAGTCTCAAAACTTAACTCTGTCACACGCAGCTTGTTGCTTGCTGATCCATGTATGAGGATAGCCTGACGGAGAACATTTAAGCTGCGCTCCTCACCTGAGCAGGTACAGAGCAGAGCTTCATTTTACACTACCACATTGAGGTAAAGTTGGTTTTATATTCATACATTCATTTAGTAACAACTTGTGACTCGCTCCATAAATTGTTTACCATGGTACTTTGTCTATTCGTTCTGAAATCACATGCAAGTATGACATGAAAACAACATTACACTAAATGCACTATTTTTTTTGACTGAACAATGTTGTACTTTGAAAGTCATTGCCTGCTAATATGATTTCACCATTAAGAATATGCAAAAATTACCTTTCTGAAATTATATTATTAAGGAGAAAGTCTGAATGTGTAAATATAAAACTAACTTTACCTCAATCACCAGCACTGATCAACACTTAATATTTCCTCGCGCTTAAGACGACATCTCTGCATATCAATGATTACCTGATTAATGCGATCAGTTAAGTGAGTTTAAATGTCATTTAGGTCAAATGTATTTTAAAGGTATGATAAAAGTTTTTTTTTTTCAATCTATTTTTTTAAATGTCTACTCTGGAGAGAATATAAACAGCCTAAAAAACAAAGTATGCATATCTATAACACATTAATACAAAATTATGTTATTAAATAAAATAATAACAAAACAAAATATTCAAGACGTGGTAAAGAAGACAGTTTTCTGATGTGCAAATTTTGTAGCTTAAAATATATTTATATCTTAAAAATATAAATATTTTAGTCTATATATTTTTACATCATTAGACAATAAGGTAAGTTTTGTTATTTCTAGCTTTTAAAATCAGGCCTTAAATTTCTTTGTCGTCCTATTCAGTTTTAGAAATTTCAATACTGTTTAAATTAAATCTGTGTTCATCGAATTAAAGCAACTAACATGATAATCAGCTCTATTGCTAACCGTTTTGGAGGTTAAGACATTTAGACATCAGGCAATTGTACTACTTCCACTCTCAGCTAAATGACACTGTGACTTTGTGTACATACAGAATTGAAGGTCAGGTGTTGCTGACTACAGATAGGTTCTTAAATGGAGGCATGTGAAAGGTGGGTAAAATATTTATTTTGTACTACTATGCCTGGCATATCCAGATAAAATAAATATTACAGTGTATTTATCAATGATACTTTTGCAGCAAGGAAAGTGAAACTTCAGCTAGACCTTGAGTCAGTTTACAACATGAAGATCCTGCTTTCAACATCTGATCAACACCTGATTTTCATCTGAGGTAAAAAATAGATAAGTAAATGAAACATAATAATAATATTAATACATTTTTTCTAGAATTGTATATTTTGTGGTGTGGGTTTGTTTTATGAAATCCTCTCGTGTTTCTTTTTGCTGTTTGCAGAGTACCAACATGTTACAAATGAGAATTTTCCCCACAAATTCTTTGCAAAACTGGACCACCACCTATTTCATTTGATGACAATTTTAAGGCAAACAGCATCCAAAACTGGCAAGACAGCAGATACCCTGGCTAATCTTTTAAAGGTTTATGATGAGCAGGTATGTTTGGGGTCACGTGTTAAAGTATACATTAAAATATAATTTGAATTATTATTATTTTTTTAATTTTTAAAAAATTGATTCTTGATTTCCAGGAACTAAATGATGTCAGTTCATGACGGACTACTGTTATCAGAGGTCTTTTGGTCTTGCTGCGTGAGCGTGACTTAAGATTCTTTAGGAACACCCTGGTAAGACTTCATTCATTCTTTTCACAATTAGGCATGTTTAATGAAAAGATGAAAGTTTTGAAAACTTTTACTTAATAACATATTTGTAATCAAGAATAATTGATGAATCATATAATATTGGCTCAGTCATTTTGATACTGTCCTTACATTAATATCCTTGAATTATGTTTTTAGATTGATAATCCTGCTGACTGAAGATGCTTTATTGGCCCTGCATTCACTGAGGGTCTCTGTTGTCCTGAAGAATGAATTGGACACCACCCACAGCACACTTCCAGACCTTTCTTGTCTTGTATGGATTAATATATGCTCTTCACATAATATATAGTAAAGGACTTTGAACTTGTGCAAAAAGTTTTGCTTGGCATGGATGATGGAAAATAAAAAGTCTCGTAGCATGGAAACCTAGTAACTTCAAAACATTTATTTACCTTTAATTGGTAAGTATGCATTTTATTATATATAGGGATAGTTTGTCCAAATGTAAAATTCTGTCATTTACTAACTCTTCACTTGTCCCAAACCTGCTTGAATTTCTTGCTTCTGTTGAACACAAAAGTTAAGTAAAGCTGACAACCTGTAACCACCGACTTTCTTATGGGAAAACAAATACTGTGGAAATCGGTGGTTACAGGTCTCAGCTTTTTTTTTTTTTTTTTTCAACAGAAGAAAGAAACTCAAACAGGTTTGGAATAAGTAAATGACAGAATCATAGTTCAACCAAGACTGAATATATATATATATATATATATATATATATATATATATATATATATATATATATATATATATATATTGTAACGAGCGCACACATGCCACGTCGTCCTGGTCGCTAATTCAACCCAGCTGGACCATCATCAACACAGGATCGTTCACAGCTGGACGTCATCAAGTGGAGAGGCATATAAACCAAGCCCACGCAAGAGAAGATGAGCTTCATTCACCCAATGACTCCATGCGCTAACGCTTGTCTCTGTCTCTCCACAGCAGACTCCAGCTCGTGACGATCCCACATCCGACTATTCACTGTCCTTCACTTACTTCCCGGAGCACCAGAGCACCTCACCTTGAAGAAGAGCACCGTTTACACCCCATTCACGTTGTAAATAAAGCACCCTCCGGGGACTTGTCTGTAAACTTATCCAACTGTGTCGCTGTTTTCCCTCTGCCTCGCTACAATATATATATATATATATATATATATATATATATATATATATATATATATATATAAAATCTGCTCTCCGTTAAACAGAAATTGGGGGAAAAATAAATGGGGGCGAATAATTCTGACTTCAACGATATATATATATATATATATATATATATATATATATATATATACAGTTTCTGTGTAGTTTACACTAAACGAGTCACTTCACAGAATGTGCACTTATTATTTTTTTTAACGAATGCCTTAAGAGTAAGTTTTACACTTATTAATGTATTATTAAATTTTATCAAACTTATAGTTGTTTTTTCTTGAGGCTCTTATGTCTGATATATTTACATTGTGGGTAATTTTTATTAATTTCAGAATAGTGTTCATTTTCAATCTCTTTATGTCTAATAGTTTTTATCGTATTAAGACATTTGTAATTGCATAGGAGACAAATTTGAAAGTACTGTTGGACATTTTTTCTTTAACAATAAATGTCTAAAATGGTATTGTCTGTGTGTTTTAAATTACAGATTTATTTTGACATTTATGGGGTTTAAAGATTAAAATAATGGCTAATTTTATTTGTGAAACTGACGATGGAGAAGTTAATTTTAAAAAATGCTATCAAAATGTATGAGCTGGGTGATTTAAGTATTTAAAGTTGAAAGAAATTAAAGCAATTAAGTTAATTGGTATTAAAATGTATGAGCTGGGTGACTAAGTATTTAAAGTTTGGAAAAATTAAAACAATTAAGTTAATTGCAATTAAAACGTATAAGCTGAGTAACTTGGGTATTTTAAGTTAGGTGAAGTGTCTTGCATGAGTACAACAAACTCAAAACTTAATGTTTCTGTTTACTTAAAATAGATAATTTCATAACTTAAAAAATTTGACGTAACTGATTACCTCAAATTTTTTGAGTTTTGTCAACTTATTCGGGATTACAGTGCAGTTTGGACATATATGTGTGTAAGTATAGTGTATACACTGTCATATTGGGGTGAAATAAACACCCAGTCCTTTTTTTTCCCCAAATTTAACAACATAAAAACAGTGGACCAATTGGAGCAGTTTTCAGATCGACCGCAACTTTATGTAGGAGTGCGGTCCCCCCACCCACCAATATTGATTGACAGCTGTGTGCATTAACATGTCTCCGTAGTAATGCATATACTTATATCGACAAGACAGGAAGAGCGCAAAGCAACTATAATAAAAGGTCTGTTCAGTTTGCATCATCAGACGTGATCAAGAGTGAGTTTTACATAAGTTTAACATGTTTTAAAATGTGTGCACGTGTGAAGTACAGCGATTCACTTCAGATTCAATTCATTAGCACAGCTTTGTGTCTCTCTCACTCTGTGTGTGTTTGCGCTATGTATGTGTGTGTGTGTGTCTGCGTGTCTACGCTATGTCTGTGCTATGTGTGTGTGTGTGCCTGCATGTATACGCTATGTATGTGCGTGTGTCTGCGCTACTTGTCTGTGCTGTGTGTGTGTCTGCCTGCGTGTCTATGCTATGTATGTGCATGTGTATCTGCACTACTTGTCTGTGCTGTGTGTGTGTGTGTGTCTGCCTGCGTGTCTACGCTATGTATGTGCGTGTGTGTCTTGCTACGTGTCAGTGCTATTTGTGTGTCTCTGCGCTGTGTGTGCGTGAACTCATTGTTGCAACTCCACAAAAAATGCATCAAATACTAATTGGTAAAGTTCTTACTGTAGTATTTCTCACAAACCTTATATGAGATCTGCTTCCTGAGTCAGCCGAGGGCTTGTTGAGGCATGTTGCTGACAGGCATGTGGGATCGGTGGGCGAGGATGACTCGCCTTAAAGGCAGAGTTAAAAAAAACAGCAACAACCTTTTCCCAGCTATAATACAGACATTTCAAACAGCTTTAATAAATACTCTGATGGGTGTTTTGAGCTGAAACTTTACAGACACATTCTGGGGACACAGAAGACTTATAATAAATATGAAAAAAGGGGCAACCTATGTGCCCTTTAAATGTAAAACCAAATTACCAAATTACTAAATACTCTTGATCCACGAGAGTGTAAAACCTGCAGCCCACAACAAAGTTTTTGCATATCTTATTTAATAAACCATTTACTATGATTTGTATGTAATGTTGCTCACATGGATAATTGAATATTAATCAGATGATGTCATTACGCTGCTGTGCTGTCAGCCAATCGTTGCATTGCTGATTATGATTTCAAGAATCGATAGATCTATCCTTCACAACATACCCAGTGATCTCAGATTTATCCTGACATTTTAATCTGATTCGCAAACTTAGCCAACCAAATTAGCCAGAGATCAGTTCTCAAGATTAAAAGATCCAGGATCTATCAAATCATCTTAGATCATTTAAGCAAGGTACCAAGAATAGACCCCTGGTTTCAAAATATTCTAAACCATAGTTTGCTTTGGCCCTCGCTAATTGCTTACATCAGGAAAGTGTAAATAGAAGTGCTCGGTGGACTTAAGGAAAATTAAAAGTCCCTGTGGAGCACATTCAAAAGCATGCAATAACCTTCTCTTTTTTATGTTCTCCAACACAATTCTACATGTTCTGCATAGTTATGCACATTTCTCTAATGGTCTGTATATGTGCTACTATTGCCTTTATCAAATTGGACCATAGGCATATGGTACCACATGAATTATGCCTTTATGTGCTCTATTTGAAGTAACACAAGGATTGAAATGCCACAAAAAAGAATAACCACCTCATTCATTTTTATTGAGAAACTTCCACCTGAGCATAATAGAAATATTAACTGTATGAAAAGAAACCTGCACAGTAAGGCAGAAATCAGAACAGCAAACTTGCTTGTATCCCAGTCCCCACATGGCTTTTATAGTGCAACCATGCTTAATCTTCAGAAGAGAAACTTTAAAAGGGTATTTGATTTTCAAGCAGCCCATGTATGGAAACAGAGAAATAGAGATTCTAAATACATAAGATCAGCTCCTATGATCTGCAAGAGAGGAGAAACAATTTTAAAAAATTTAGTGTTTAAGTTAATAATTCAACTGAAAAAGCCACTAATGCAGCTTAAATTTCCCTGTGCAATAACTTACGCTCGCAGCAGTATTTGACTCTCAGATATTTGTATGTGTGCTCACACGGGTTAGAGAATACACTGTTGGTGGCATGTATGGCGCAGTGCACACTCCCATTACACCTGCAGCATGAAAATAACACATTTTAAATTAACCATATTAATTATGCAGATCACACATCAACTAAGTTGAGTCTCAAACAAACATTTGATTAAAAAAAATTAATAATAAATCCCCATTATCCAAGAAGGGTATAAACTGAGGTAGGAGCCAGCTCCAAATGGGCAGGTCAACCCCAAGTGGGTGGCTTGTGGTCCAACTCGACTATACAAACCTGTAGATTCCATTGATTTGAGTAAATTACATAGAATTCAACCTATTGTGTTTATTAATGTCCCACCAATCCTAAACACAATCTCACAGTAATCTGTTGTGTTTTAATAACACCTACCACAACCCTACCCCAACACTTTAAAGTAAATATTGTTTTATTAACATTTACCACAACCCTCAACCCAACCTACTAGCATCTGCTCTCGTATTTGAAAACCATCAATATAAAAATAAGCCCAAGTATTAGAATTATTAAGCAAATTGCTGTAATCTATACCTTTCTGACACAATGTGCAGTGCATGAGGAGAATAGCAGTTGGTGTTCTGGAGCTGGTCTTGAGGTTGATCATAGCAGATTGCTTTAGTTTTACGCCCATAGAGTGCATCAATTATCGTGATCTTATGATGTTCTATATGTAGAACAAGAGTACAGAAGTTAATAAAGAGAATGCGTGTGACATGATGAACGATTTTAGATTTAATGTGACATGATTAAAACAGCAGTATTATGTAGTCAACAGCTTTAGTAGATTGATGCTTCTTCTTACTTGGACAGGTCAGATACAGGAGAAACCCCTCACATGCAGTTACAACGTCTGAGAAAAGAAAGACCAGCTTTAGAGCATTAATTATCACTTAAACTGGTCTGCGATTGAGATGAAGGCTCTGAATAAGTTTGGTGCAGATGCACATTCACTCATCTACTCTTTAACACAGAGTTGTTCAGGGTCCTGACAGTGCATGAGTGAACTTTCCCCGTTCATATCAATTGATTCACAAGGTATCTGACTATTTGTAAACACTCATCTCAATATTACCATCCACATTTAGATTTTTGCAAATACGGAGCAAAGGACCAATAAAGTGTCAAGCATTCCTACGTTGCAATCAATCAATCAACAAACAAACAAACGGTCTGAAGTCATCAGAAATGTACCAGTTGGTCCATCACAGTCATCTGCAGATATCAGCAGACTGCAGTTCATAAGCATTACTGTAAATACAGATAAGAACTGATTAAGACACCTGTGCATTGCTAATCAGATGCACACAATTTAATCTTTTCACCACAGTTACATGTTCACCAATGATATGCTTTCTAAAACCCTAAAAGAGACTTACAGGTAAGAACTAAACTGAGACGGCCCATGATTCTGCTGTCGTCCTCAACACTGCATATAGACTTTACTGATTCATATTTATAGGCCGCTGGTCTGAGTGGTAATGAGCGACACCTGTGCTCCACACCTGCAGTCCCACAGAGGACGACAGAACATCAATAATAATGTACGGATTTGTAAACTAAACTTTATTTTATTATGAACTAATGATGAGTTGAGGCATGTGTTAATCAAGAACTTTAACTACAACATTAAGCTGCAGTCACACTAGGCTTTTCCTCCCATAGACTTCCATTCATATGCACGCAAATGTGTCAGACCAGAAACGCAGGATCATGCGTTAAGTTTCGCAGGTTGCTGCAGTGCAAAGTTCAAGCTTGGTGAACTCTGACCTGCGAAAACGCATCACTAGACTGCGTGAGACCAACCAAGGATTAAAACATGACATCTCTGTACAGAAATTTAAAACATGGAGAAATCGCTCGCTTTTTTAATGTCTAATAATTTTGTTAATTTCCGCCTCTTTTCGCAGCACTGTACGACAGAATTTCGCACACATAAACTCTAGTGTGACTGTAGCTTTAGTCTTGTGAGTTCATGTGTAAATAATGTCTACCGGCTGAGGCCTTTCTATAATTTAATTATGCAAAAAGTAGCCTATTAATAATGTGTGTTTAATTGATCTGATATCTTTTAAAAAGATTTATTTTCAGCAAGTTATGAAAATTGTGCCATTTTAGCACTGCGCTAAAAGATCAGAAATGTCAGTAGCTCTTTACAGACCATTTCTAAGCAGAAAAGTGGTATATACGTATATATTTATTCGGCCACTTTATTAGGTACACCTCTCTAACTGCTCATTAATGCATATTTCCGATCAGCGGATCACATGGCAGCAACTCGTTGCATTTAAGCATGTACACACGGTCAAGATGATCTGCTGCAGATGGGCTACAGCAGCAGAAGACCACACCAGGTGCCACTTCGATCAGGTAAAAACATGACACTAAGGCTACAATTCGCATAAACTCGCCAACATTTGACAACTGAAAAATGGAAAAGCATTGCCTGGTCCAATGAGTCTCGATTTCTGCTGTGACATTCGGATAGTAGGGTCAGAATTTGGTATCAACAATATGAAAGCATAGATCAATTCTGCCTTGTATCAAAGGTTCAGGCTGCTGGTGGTGGTGTAATGGTGTGGGGGATATTTTCTTGGCAATCTTTAGGCTAATTAGTACCCATTGAGCATTGTGTTAATGCCACAGCCTACCTAAGTAATGTTGCTGACCATGTTCCTCCCTTTATAACCACAATGTACCCATCTCAGGCCTGTAGCTAGCAGTATGAAAGGGGTGGTTCTTTTTTTTTCTTAAAAAGTGGACCTTTTTGCAGTTATTTGCCTCATTTTCTATTTAATTAAGAGGTTTAAATAGGTTGCATTTTATTTTCATTTTAAGCTCAATTTTTTGCTTGATTAGCTTGTTGGATGGTCATCATAACCACATTTTTTGATTTACCAAAAACATTTCCTGAAGATTTACTTCAATTATCATTTACATTATATACATAATATGCACATAAATTACATCATATGTCATTAGAAAAAAATAGGAATCTGTTAAAGTTTTTAAATTAAAAACTAGCCTTTTGTCATTTAAATATCGTTCATATGAATGGCAAACTGGCCAGCACACTCAACCTCCCTCAGTCACTGACGCAGCAGCCAACACAGGATTCCGCTTGGTGTTAAAGCCTTCTTTGTTGGATTATTTTCAAAATTTAGTATGGCATATCAGTCAAAGTAGAACAAATGAGCTCATGTATGGGACAATTTCTGGATCTTTTTCAGTGAGAGGTGGGTCTTTCGAACCACCCGACGCCCCCCTGGCTATGGACCTGCATCTTCTGATGTCTACTTCTAGCAGGATAATGCCTCATGTCATAAAGCGTGAATCATCTCAGACTGGTTTCTTGAACATGACAATGAATTCACTGTACTCAAATGGCCTCCACAGTCACCAGATCTCAATCCAATAGAGCATCTTTGGGATGTGGTTGAACAAATGAGATTTGCATCATGGCAATAAAGAAACCTGCAGCAACTGTGTGATGCTATCGTGTCAATTTCCAGTACCTTGTTAAATCTATGCCACGAATGATTAAGGCCGTTCTGAAGGCAAAAGGTGGTCCAACCCAGTACTAATAAGGTGTACCTAATATATTGGCCTGTGAGAGAGAGAGAGAGAGGGTGTGTGTGTGTGTGTGTTCATTCATTTTCTTTTAGGCTTAGTCCATTTATTAATCCAGGGTCGCCACAGCAGATGGAACCACCAACTTATCAAAAACATTTTTTACACAGCGTATGCCCTTCCAGCTACAACGCATCTCTAGGACACACACACACACACACACTCAAATGGTGATGAATCAGTATTTAAACTTATGTATAAATCATATCTGTATTTTTCTGGCTGTATATTTTTGTTAGAATATGCTTCAATTTTGGTTTATATATGGTGATGCAGTGGCGCTGTCGGTAGTGCTGTTGCCTCACAGCAAGAAGATCGCTGGTTCGAGCCTCAGCTGGGTCAGTTGGCATTTTTGTGTGGAATTTGCATGTTCTCCTTATGTTCGCTTGGGTTTCCTCCAGGTTCTTCAATTTCCCCCACAGTCCAAAGACATGAGGGGCAGGTGAATTGGGTAAGCTAAATTGTCCATTGTGTATGAGTATGTGAATGATTCCCAGAAATGGGTTGGAGCTGTAAGATCATCCACTGTATTAAAAAATGTGCTGGATAAATTGGCAGTTCATTCCACTATGGCAACCCCAGAATTATAAAGAGGCTAAGCCGAAAAAAAAAAAAGAATGATAGAATTTACACAGTGCTGGCATAAGTTTGGTTTAAATTGCAGCAAGCCACCATTTGTGTTTGCTACGAGTCAAGTTATACAGGAGATAAACACATTAAGAGAAGTGGTAACACCTCATCTGCATTTTAAATGCACTTAAACTCATGGATAAGTGGTAGTTGTTTGAAGGATCTTACACTCAAGAGTTGAATTCAAAACCACAAATTGGTATAAAACAACAAGATCACAATTAATCTCCTCTGCCCCAATCCAAGATGACACAATATCGATGAACACTTGTTGGAACCTTAGCTTTATTGTAGTTAAAAAAATTTTAAAAATAAAAAACCCTAGACTTTGGGTGCATAATCCAGAACATTTAAATCCCACAGTTAAGTTACTGGACCAGATTCACTACCTGGGGGGAAGAAAAAAAATTTAAGGTTAATTAGACTAAACTCAGTACAACAAAGTCACGCTTGCAGCAGTATGTGATCCTCAGGAACTTGTATTGTATATATTGTATATACTTGTGTGTGTGTGTGTGTGTGTATATATATATATATATATATATATATATATATATATATTGTAGCGAGGCAGAGGGAAAACACAAACACAGTTAGATGATGTTACAAACAAGGCCCCGGAGGGTGCTTTATTTACAAGTGTTACAGGGGTGAATGAGTGCTCTTCTTAAGGGTGCGTGCTCAAGTGCTCCGGGGAGATGGTGAAGACTGGTGAGAGTTCTGGTGTTGGATTGGTCACGAGCTGGATTCGGCTGTGGGAGAGACAGGGAGTCATGTGGAAATGAAGCTCAGTTTCCTCCTGTGTGGGGCTGGCTTTTATCTCTCCCTGGCTGATGAGGTCCAGCTGTGAGCGATCCGGTGCTGATGAGTTTCCAGCTGGGGTGAATTTGTGACCAGGGCGACTTGGTATCAGCAGACTCGCTACATCCCCCCCCCCCTTAGCGTCGTCCTGGTCCTGGGTTTTCTGCGAAGAAAAAGCAGTGTGTTGAGAGGGGGGGTAGAATGTTTTGACAGACCTGCCCATCCTGACCAGAGCCGTGAGAGTCCGTCTGCGTTTCCGTGGGAGGCCCCGGCTCGATGTTGGACGTCAAAGTTGAAATCCTGGAGCGACAGGAACCATCTGGTGACCCGAGCGTTGTTGTTCTTCGCTGTAGCCATCCATTGTAGCGGGGCGTGGTCGGTCCCCAGAGTGAATTTCCTGCCAAGGAGGTAGTACCTTAGCTCCAGGTTGCCCACTTGATCGCCAGGGCCTCCTTCTCCACCGTTGCGTAGCAGGTCTCTGCGGGGGTAAGCTTCCGACTCACGTACATGATGGGATGTTCTTCATCGCCGTGGACCTGGGAGAGGACCGCGCCCAGGCCCGAGTCGGAAGCATCCGTCTGAAGAATGAAGGGGCAGCCGAAGTCAGGTGCGTGCAGTACCGGTGAGGATGTGAGGGCCGTCTTCAGGGCTCGAAACGCATCGTCTGCTTCCTTGGTCCATCTTATCCTCTCCAGCTGCCCCTTTCTGGTCAGGTCTGTCAGAGGGCTGGCTATGGATGAGAAGTTAGGTATGAAACATCTATAGTAGCCCGCTAACCCCAGAAATGCACGTACCTGGGTCTTTGTGGTGGGTTGTGGAGTTTCTTGTAGTGCTTTGACCTTGTTTTGTTGTGGCTGTATGAGACCTCTTCCAATGTGGAACCCGAGGTATCTGGCTTCGGCTAGCCCCAGGTGGCATTTCTTGGGATTAGCTGTGAGCCCAGCCCGTCGAAGATCTAAGAGCACCCTCCGTAACCGGGATAGGTGTTCCTCCCATGACTCTGAGTGGACGATGAGGTCGTCCAGGTATGCTGCTGCATATGGCTGGTGGGGCCTCAGCAGGATGTCCATCATTCTTTGGAATGTGGCTGGGGCCCCGTGGAGCCCGAAGGGAAGAACCCGGTATTGCCAGTGCCCACCGGGTGTGGAGAAGGCGGTTTTCTCCTTGGCGTCTTCACTTAGTGGTAACTGCCAGTAGCCTTTGGTGAGGTTGATGGTGGAGATAAATCGGGCTCCACCCAGCCTATCCAGCAGCTCGTCCACCCGAGGCATGGGGTATCCATCGAACTTGGAGATCTCGTTGAGTTTCCTGAAGTCGTTGCAGAAACGGAGGGTGCCATCGGGTTTGGGGACCATCACTATTGGGCTGGA